AGCCAACTAGGTGTTGTCAGAACATATGAAGAATGCCACTTTGTTTACCCTGGTGAACAAGGGTGTTTGTTCCAGTCTTCAGAGCAGCATTACCTCTACTAGTCTTCTCCCTGAACTCAAACAAAATAAATGTTTGGCTGCCTCACGTTATTTCATGACAGAATATTTTAATGTTGTGTCAGTGCTGGTGTTCTGCTGTAGAACTTAAAGAAAGTTTAGGAAATTGTAAGATATAAAACATTTATGTTATACCTCTGAGTAATAACTTTACTGTAATTTTGTGAGGATTCACTGCCCAAAATCTTAATTCATTATTATAGCCTTTACGAAACATATAGAATCAACACTTTCTGGTATTTTCTTATTTGCACAGTGTGAAGGATTCATTGTTGTAGTTTAATTTGTTTCATGTGGTGCTTCTGAGTACATTCCATACAGAGCTGTTATTGAATTTCTCCAACTGTCATTATATAGCCATACAACCTTTAGGAACCCCATTCTCGGTTTCCCAGTTTTATAATATGCTTCACATTTTAAAGATTGACATAATTAGCTCTTGCTTCTTAGCTAAACATCTAGGACCAAAGGATGATATGAGCAAGCTGGCAGTGAAACTTTAATTTCTATAATGGTTATAACACATTTTCTCAACCTAAAATAAAATTAAAATATACGGTTTTCTCCCATTTTGTCTCAGAAGCTGGATATATATGTCTTCCTGTCTCCTCTGTTCTTTGTAGGATAGCAAGAACAAAAACAGCCACTGCTTTTGGTTTATTGAAGGAAGCAGATTAACATGTTCCCTTGTGTAGAATATTACTCTGTAGTATTGGTTGTAATAATTTGATTTGGATTGGATACCATTCACCTCATGATCGTACAGTATCTTGTTAGAAGGGAAATATTGTTTGGGCATTATTTCAGTGGAATTGGTTGCTGAATCTAGTTTTGAATTTTGGTTTCAACGGAATATTAATGATTACGTGTTGCATAGGGACTACATATGTGATAGGTTTTCTGGGTCAAAACTTCAGTGAGATAGTTGTAATCCCACGCTTGCGCATGTGTTGCAGCGATTTTGCATTCTAGATCTATACTTGAGTAAAGATTGCACCTTGTGGTCCTGCTCCTCTTTCTCCAGCCCCCATCTACAAATAGGCAGTTCCATTTTGATAGGCCTATATGTGTCATGTCTATGTTCTCCATAGTCTTCTCTTCTGATTCCTTGAATATGAGGATCAAATGTACAGAATTTTCACTTAGATTAGAAGCCTGTGTATAAATATAAATGTGACTCCCATCTGAAGCAGCCATCTCCCCAAAGTGGGAGGAAGCAGACTTGTTCATCTCATTTATATCCCCAGCAGAAAACTGAAGTCCACTCTCAAATTTATAACCAAGGTAACACTGTCTGTGCAGGGCTTATATTTTGAATGTTATAAATGGGACCTGTAAGAACACGTTGAGCCAGCTGATCTTTCAACTGGCTCAACTGGATTCTTCTTTACTGATTTTTGTTTTCTTTCAGCACATGTTTTTCATGTTATTGCCAATTCAAGGTTTTGTTTTTCGTTTTTATTTCTGCAATCATGGTGTCCCCCAGACCATGTCTCTCTCTTGTTCCTTAGTTTTTCAGAGCCTCTGAGTTGACTGGTACCATTTGCATTTGCTGTTAGAAAGACTAATAATGGGGCATGAGTATGTGTGTGTGTGGTGGGGGGAATAATTTTCATATTTTCCTATGTAAAATTGTACAGACTTGATACATATGATGCTTGCCCCGTACTCTCTTCCATAACACGGAGCTGAGTTATGTTACCCATACAGCTACTTTAAATGACCTTGTCACATATAAAAACTAATCAGATTGTTGTTGTTAATAAGCTTTTCTGTGTGCTTATTCACAGGTTCAGATAAATAGATTTAAGAGGTAATGATCCTGTTTAGCACTCAAGCTTAGCTGTCAGATTCTCGCAGTTGAGGGACATCTCTAGGGATGGCTGTTGACATAGATCTTGATGGGATAATAGGAATCAAAGCTAATGCATGATGAAAGGACTAGCAAGGATAACTATGGATTAGAGGAGTGTTCTTTGTTACGTTTGACATCTATCCCAGGCTATTTGTTAAACTCTGATCCAAATGCTAATTAGCAACAAATGGAAATACTAGCAGAGTATGTGGTCCTTTTCCTACTTTTTCCATTTTAATATAGATATAGGATATTAAGATATGTTATTCAAAGATTTGACACAGAATTCAAAATCTGGCACATATGAGTAATGAAAAAGCTTATTTCCGCCACATGTAAATATACATGGTTGTTATGACATCTCTTGCAAAGATTAAGGAATGTAAAAGAGTTAATCTTGAATGTTACTTACTTGTTTATTTTAAAGATTCAGATTCAGTGACTACAATGATATTTCCCTTTTTGAAACTTTTGTGTTACCCAAAAGCGTAAGTGATTCTACATAAACAGAGATCCCAACTTGCAACATAAATAGTGCTACAATTGGCCCTTCACATTTGCTGGGATTAGATCGAGAGGATTCACACAAAAGTGTAAAATCACAAATAAGATTTTTTTTTTATTTTTTAACCTCAGAGAACACCTCTCTAGAAGTCTCTAGGTTCTCCAACACAATCTTGTGCTCAACTTCTGTGGATGTTAGCCATAGTCCTAGAGATTTTCTAGGTCCTGCTGCATGAGTGCAAATCAATTTCTATAAGTTGATTTCAAATCACATTCTCTCAGCATCTGAAAAGCCATTTTACCCCTATACAGACAGTCCCCAAGTTGCAAACAAGATAGGCTCTGTAGGTTTGTTCTTAAGTTGTATTTGTATGTAAGTTGAAACAGGTACATTTTAAAGTGTAATTCTATCCATTGTATGCATAAAAGCTGTACAGACGTAACCTCTTGTGTCATTATCGTAACAGTTGATCAACTTGAATAGTAGATATTCTGTAATAGTCTGCATCCCCACATTTTCAAAATGTTTCTCACACTCGAACAGCTGTATTTCCTGCATGTAAAGTGTCAAAAACATATATACTCATAAAATATTCATTAGATGGACAGATATTCCCTGCTTGTCACTTAGTTTCAGTAGCTAATGAAAATTTGGTGTTTCTTTTTACACTAATATGCTTGTTGTTGGAAGAGGTAGGCCTAAAAGTAGCCATATATTGGCAGCCCCCAAGTTTCGAACAGGATCGGTCCTGTATGTTTGTCCTTAAGTTGAATTTGTATGTAAGTTGGAATAAGTACATTTTTAGGTGTAATTCCAGCCAAATATACTTTTTAAAGCTTTGGATAGCATAGAGAAAAGTTAACACCCCTGTGGTTCTTGTTTTGCTGTCTGTGCCTCTGTTGAGAAGATTACACCTTACTTTCTGTGAGAAAGCTTCAGTGGGGACACCTTTTCCTCGTGATCACTCTTTCAGGAGTGGATTTCCATTCCGAGGGCTAGATTTCTCTCACTTCCTGCTGTCTCACTCCCATTTTTAACTATAAGTCATTTGTAGGTCAGATGTTTGTAACTCAGGGACTGCCTGTATTAACAAAATGATACTGCTGAATGCTATCTATTAACAGTAAACCTGGCAGTCACCATATTTTTATAGTGCCCTGGGTCCCTTGACAGTAGAAAAGTGACTTATAAATTGAATGAATTAATGTATGAATGCATGGGTAAATGAATATATGGATGATTGTTATATTTAAACATAATAAACGTGAATGTCTTTATGTTCATAGATGCAGCAACCCATCAGATCATTGTGCTAAATGTTTCCAAATTTGACAGGAAGTATTTGGTTATCTTTCAAATTCTACTACCACCCTTTATGTTAAAATTCTAGTGGGTCTTATAAGAAGCAGACAAGGGGAGCAACCATAACTCATAAAAAAGTTGGGGCAGGCTCCTCAATTTTTGGCAGCACTCTTAATTCTTCAGGTTTCAGTCCCCTATTGAAATCAAAATTCCAGATCTGTTGTATAATAGTATTCAAAGGTATGCTGACAAGAGTGGTTTGTTCATTGACTTACTTGCTGAAGTCAGGGTTGTAATTTCACAGAGAGTGCATATATAAGAGATTTTGATGAGGAAAAGGAAGGAAGAAAGAAAAAAGACCAGGACATTTAAGTTAGAGAGCCTGGCATTTAAAGTGTTATTAAAAAATGAAGCAGAATTCCAATAATATGCCGATAGGCGACACCGAGGCTTTGATCTTATTTAAGTTTACCAGAAAATACATCCCAGAGATTTAGGGATTATTTCTGAGTATACAATCAGCTCTCATTGGTGTTAGGGATACAAGACCTCTACAAAAGTGAAAAACCATAAATAATATAATTCCTATTTTTTGTACCTGAGAAAACATATTTCTTGGAATTTCTCCAGCATGACTCTGTTGTCAATTTCTGCCAGAGCATTCTGAATGATCTGGAGATTCCTAAAGAGGTATTTTCTCTAGGAATCTCTCATTCATCCAGCATGATCTGGCAGAAAATACTTGAGGAACCTCAAGTACTTCAGCATGACTCCATGATCAACCTCTGACAGAAACTGATGATAGAGTTGCACTGGGGGACTAGAAATTCTGTAAACAACATGTACTCAATTCCATAAATAATCAGATCTGCACCAATCCAGTCCATAAATGTGGAGGGATGACTGTATGTGGACAGATTCACTTTGCATGTATTACTTTATGCTTCATTTATAACTATTTAATTACCAATTTTTAAGTAATGTAGTGATTCTTAACTGTAGATTGTAAAATAGGTGGGAAGAAATACAAATACAGTGCTATGTAATTTAGTTGTTGGTCAAATTGCCTGCATAAGACAACCACAGTAGACCTAATGACAGAAGATTCAGCCAACTTGCTTTTGATCTATTGTCAAAATAATACTCTGTGTTCAGAATAGTCAATGTTTTGAAAAGCAGGAACAATCATTAAGATACCACTGTTGCATTTTCCCCCTTCAGGTTTATGCTCGAATGTCAGAAGTCTTGGGAATAACAGATGACAACCAAGTTCTAGAAACGTTTATGGCCAAAATGTGAGTTATTCTTCCATGGTGGTATTTCTTCTCAAAACTTTAAAATGTAAACATGAAATTTAATGTAAATATTGCTATTTTTATTTTTATTATATTTTTTCAATGACATGGAATGTTTACTTGCAGTCTATATACTTTTCAAGTCTTGATCCAGTAGTGAGCTACCACTGACGGAAGAGTGAAATCCAGAGGCACCAGAGGGGGAGAGGCAGTCCTATTTCCCACTGCACCTCCTATGCCCTCTCCCACTGGGAAAGCTAGAAAGTTATCTGGAATCAGTTTTTAAGCAATGCAGAGAGCTGCAGAAGGCAGGGAAAGAAAATTCCACAAGTTTTATTGGCAGAGCATTGTATTGTTTCCTCAACTAACAAGAAGTGTGGTTCCAGATCATGTTGATATCCTACTTTACATGGTATTCATGAAATATTGCAAAATCTGGGTAAAAAGTACTATTCTTCTGCCTTCCTCCTGTAAATCTTGACTTTCTAAATACCACACTGCTGTATTGCTTTGGGACTTTCACTGGAGAAATTAAGAGAGGCATTAGAAAGAGTGGGGAAAGAGCTTCTGGGTCTCTTTGAAGCTTATTCTTACTATGCCAACACCATTTTTAACCCTCACTGGCAGAGAAGTTTTTGGCATCTCACTATCACTATTTTTTGTATAAATTTAGATCACAAAATAGGTTTGCTTTTTTTTTTTTTTTTACAATGTTATAACTGGAAGAATTTTAAGCAAATGTCCCTGAGATTCAGTGACCTGTTTTCTTTAACGGATGACTAGTTTCATGTCACCCATGTACTTTTTTGTCCCAGCTATTGTAACAATAGTCCATCCCAATGTGTGGTGAAAACTTTATACAGAAGGACTGATGTATGTTCAAATGATAAACAAACCTCCTGCCTGGTCAAAGATTAAATTATAGTAAGTGATCATATGATCCCGTGATCTTTTTCAGTAATGTCATAAGAAGCAGGGATGGAGAAACCTAGTGTAGGCATCCACAGACCATTTGCTGTAGTGTAACCACAGAAATGATTCTGTCTCTGTCTGTTTTCAATTCTAGTGTGACAAATCTTAAATACTGGGGACGATGTGAGCCTGTGATTTCAAGAACTCTTCAGTTTCTAAATGATCTTTCAGTTGGATATCCTTTTGATTGTATATTACAGATATTACTGCCTAGATTATTTAGGAGACAGTTGAGTATGAGTCATTTTCTTGCACACATTATTGTGTTTCAGTTGTTCTATTCTAGCTGGGGCTAGTGGTTTAATTCATTCCCTAGTGTGATATTTTGAACTCCTGCTCTTCTTCCCTTCCACAAATCTTTGACCATTGGCTGTACTCATTGGACTTTGTTGACTTGTAGTCCAAAGCTTAGTAGGACAGGCTCAGCTGGTAGTAATTTAACATTTAAACTAACAAACATAAAGTGTATACACCTATGTTTAGGTGCTTCGGTATTATTGTCCAATACTAGGTGCTTATGTGAAAGGAATTATCACATTCATGTGACAGAGATAGAAGAAGAAGATTGCAGTTCTAAAATGTTAAAAGGGTAAAAATGATTGCTTTTCTTGACGTTTTCTTGCAGTTCAATAAGCTAAAGGTCAACAAGAAATTCTGCTTTAAATAACTTTGTTAAGATATGAAGATAGGGAAGTGATCAGGTTCTGTTACTGAAGATTGCTGTTTCTTTCCACCCCAATGATTTAGTTTATTTCTTTGTGGGAGGTTGGAGCAAGTAAATATTTTTGGTGAAATGCCAATGTAGCAGCCATTATTCCATATCATGGTCCACATTGCATACCTTTCCACATATTGAGTTAGGTAGCAGAGGTACTAATGAACCCTCCTTGTGGTTTGCAAATATGTATATAAGGACACCTGTAAGAGTGCCCTCATGTACATTGGCACTCACTTGCCAATGTTCTGAGGCAAAAAAGTGACAATGGTCACTTTTTGGCTCCCTTAAATAGGATGCATCTTGACAGTAATTATCTCTATGATGACCTGGAGTGGGCTACTCCAGATCAGCATCACTGGTAGCTGAACTGCTAGCCCGTGAACCAGTGTAGTGTTTGCATGGCGGCTGCACAGGCTGACAGCACCAGTGCACCAATTTCCATAATGCTGGGAGAGAGTTAGAGCAGGAATTGCTCTCACCCTCCTCCTTTGATCTCCTCAGCATGCTGGATATCGTCATTCCAGGCAGCATGTAGTGTCTGCAGGTGCTCAGCGGGCACCACTAAGGTAAGGATGAGGGGGAAAGGTAGATGATGTTTGCTCTTCCTGGACTGCTTGAGCTTCGGAGTATCCAGCATCTTCAGGTAACACAAGTCAAAACCACATTACACCCAATCAACAACATGCCTCATGTAATGACCACAGAGCTAACAGCAAGTGAAGACGACACACCCATAGTAATGTATCAACAGGCCCTTGCTGAATACGGATGTTGTGAAACCTGCTAATTCTGCAGACATAAGGCCACTTACGAAAAGTCCCCAAGTGAATTCTAGGTAGCATATTAAAGTGAAATATTGGCAGTCAAGCCAACTTGAATACTTTTTAAAATAGTCCTATTGTATATATTTTGGATACTCGTGAAAGAGGCAAATGAGAAGAACCAATTTAACATATAGCAAAGAAATATCCTTTTGGGTCCGACAATTTTATTAGATGCTGAACCAGGATTTATGAAATGGGACGTACTTTCTTCCCCTTTCTTTACAAACATTTTTCATCCTCTCTTCGTTTTGGTGTTCCTTTTGACCGCTTTGAGTCCCCCCAGGGGTGAGAAAGGCAGTATATAAATACTGTAAATAAATAAATAAATTTATAGAAAAATGAAATGTAAATACAGATTTTTCTATCCTTTACACAAAATGTTTGGGAGCACATGTGTTTTAGATTTCTGATTTTTTTTCCAGATTCTGGAATACCTATATTTGAATATAAATACATAATGAGATATCTTGGAGGTGAGACCTAGATGCGTGGAAGTTGTTTTTTTTAAATAAACAGTCTTGGTACTATATATGTTTTAAAATATACGTTAAATGTATACATCTTCTAAAAATAAATAATTTGCTCTAGAGTTTCCAAAGGGGTAGCTGTGTTAGTCTGCTTCAGCATAATAATAATAATAATAATAATAATAATAATAATAATAATAATAACAACAACAACAACAAAGGATCTTGTGATGACTTACAGAGTCTATAATGTGAGCTAACAAATGTATTATGCCATATGCTGTTGTATAAGAAATCCACTTCCTTAGACACTGTTTTTGCCTGTCTAGGTTTCAAAGAGGTATTAGGATAACAGGGAATTTCTGTTTTTTGTCATCCATAGGAGAATTGGACCGATAGTCTCCTTGGGGAGGAACCATAGTTTAGTGACATGTCTTTTGCATACTAAAGGTTCTAGATTCTAGTCATCTCTAAAGTTAGTAGCCCCAGAAGGGATTGCTACAGTAAAAAATGGTGGCCTTGATGAACAGTGACACGCCATAATATGTATGCTCTGCCTCCACTGGAAACAACAGAAACCATATCATGGGAATTGATGTTGCTTTTGTTCTCAAACTGCATCCAAAGATGCTTAATATTATCTTTATTTCCCAATAATTCCAAAACAAGTCGATAAAACTCTCTTGGTTGTAGGGAATGTTACTCTATTGTGGAATATGCCATGATTCAAAATGAGCGCTTCAGCTTTAGCTTTGGTATAGAGCTGATTTTGAACAGTTATGCAACATTGAAATGAACAATAGTTTGAATAAATAAAATGTGCTTATCTAGCGTCTTAAATATAATTTGACCCAAATGTTTGAGATACATACAGCTTTAGTTGGGTACAGCATGGTACAGATAACTGAGATGCTGTTTCACTTTATTCTTATGTGTTAGTATTAGTTACGCTTAAAATTGTGTTCTTCGCCAAATGAAAAAAGATTTCAGAAGTATTAAGACACCCACTTTTGTGCTGGAATTTAATATGCAACTTTTTATTGGAAAATAATCGTCCTTGTCTGGCAAAATCCACCATGCAATATTTCTGTTAGTAGGCATAATGTAATAAAGGCAGGGAGGGCTATTTATCACAACAAATTTTGAGGATTTCAGGATTCTTTTTATTATTTTAATATATTTCTTTGGTATTAAATCAGAAAAATGATAAATTACACCTGTCGAGGCTGTTTTTCCTTTTTGCTGGAAAATGATGTACAGCCCAATTTTGCTGGTCATTTTGGCTTTTAACAATACAGTATTCCCCCCTTCTCTTTAAAAATCTATTGTCTCAGCTTTTAAAGAGTAATACTGCCATACTTTTCAGTGTATACACCACACACATATCTATCTATCTATCTACCTATCTATATCTATATATGCATGTGAAATGTTTATATATACTTCATAGTATTGTAGACTTTGACCTTTTAACATTACAGCTCATTTATCATTGTAGCTCAATGGCTGTGGTGCTCAAGTGGATTAAACACAAACCATTCTGTTTGGGACTGTGCCACTGTTGGTAGGTTGAGAATTAGATTTTTGTCTCCTATAACTTTGTAAAAACCCCAGCTTTTTTAAAGAGATCACATCACATTTTCTGCACACAGGGGTACATTAAATTGTGATTAATTTGAAAAGCTAAAAATAATTAGTTTAATTGAAACGGCTGCCCAGTACTTAATTTATTCACATGCATATAATTTCCTTCTAATATTAGGCATGGCATGTTTTTTTAAACACTGGCACTTTTGTTATGCATATGGCTTATTTACATCTACATAGATAATGTAACATGTGTTTTTATTTAGAACAAAAGATTTTTCAAAAGGTTTAGATAAAAGACCAAAACTTGGGGGATACTTTAAGCAAAATGAGGCAGCCCATGATTTGTGTTTCTGTCTGGTTTTGTGTTATTTTAACAATTATTCCAGGCTTGCATATTTAGAAATATATTAGCCCAATTTGATTTTAAGGCTCAGTTATTTGAATTATAAATCATTATGTCCCTTCTAGCTGATCAGTCATGAATTCATTTACATAATGGAATGTGTTCCAGTTTCCTTTATGTCAGTGCAGTCATGGTGTTCCCTCATGCACCAATGTTTCATCTAATAATTAACTTTTTTTCATAACATTTTCTATAACAAAATATATACAAAACCATAGTTATTTTGAGGAACAGCTGACCATGGCAGTTTTTGTTCTACCACATGTTTCTTTACAATTACAAAGGGATTTTTTTTTAGATTTAAGAAGAATACATTATAAAACTATTTTTCAGATGTAAGGGTTCTTGAGGAATCCCATGTTCTCTGCCTTGGAAAGAGGAAAGAGCCCTCTGACCTCACAAAGGACAAAGTTACTGCATTGTCAGTTGAGTTTAATCTTTACTGTCCTTTGTCTCGGTCTCCACATAGCCAAGAAGAGGAGATCCCTCCAGACCATTAAAGAACAAACATAAATAACATCTGATACAAAATGTGGGCCTATGACTCTTAAGATGGCCACTTTGCTTCTCCTATGTAATTTTAAAAGATTTGTCTGAGGAACTGGAGCTTCAAAAGTTGCTTAATGTGTTTTGTGCAGTTTGATTGGCCAATAAAAGTATCACTCTTTTGTGGATTTAGGATTTTATTGTGTTAATACTATAAGTAGAGTTCATAACATGGAACATTCACTTCCATATTTAATAAATGGCCAGAATTGTTCCCTAAAATTTTGTACATGTAAGGATTCTATAGAATAGATCCATTGTAATTCCTTATTGTATTTAAGAGAATTCTTCAATAAGATAAGTTTCTGCACTTTTAAAAGTCTGTTTATTCAGAATTTTAAAAAAAACCAACAAATTGCATCATTTTTCTACATAGTTACCGTCGTTTGCAATGCATTTTTCCATTATCATTCTAGCTTTTTAATGCTATCAGCAAAAAAAAAGAAAAAGGTTTTGGTTGAGCACCTAGCCACTGATGCACTGATGTGAATCAGTTCCAGGCTCCTTTCTTCATTCTTTGTGGTTGTTGCAGTAGCTGGATGTCCAGAGACTCTGCATCCACTACACTAGTACAGCAAATTTTGAACATTTCAATCTACTCACGGCTGACTTTATGAGAGAGAATTTTATCCCCATACTGAGTACACATGTGGAGATGAATTTGTGCTCTCAACACATCTTCTGCCCACAAAAGGATATTACAGAGCACTGTTTTTCTTCAGTACAATTTATAGATTTCACGGCCATCTTCACTACATCCTGACAACTCTTATGCTAAACTGCAAGGTCAGCTGGCTTGCCAGACATACTACTCACATGACACTCTCAGACACAATGTATTTAGAGTATTTGCGCTCTGTTTATCAGCAACATAAGTTCTCAGAGCACCTTACAAGTGATTAATTCGACTGTTCCTTGCTCTCAGGCTTATAGTGTAAATAAAACACAACATTTGAGGAAGAGGAGATGGCAGTGGGAGATAGGATTAATTCTATGAGATTCTGCCACATCTTTTCTCCCTCTGAGCCCAGGCCAGTGGCTGCTGGGATAGACAGAGGGCTTTTCATCTGCTTCTGGGTCTAGGCATGATGGAACTGCTTCCTCTTCCCCTGCTCCGAGGCTAGGGAAGTGGCAGAATCAACCTACTGTAACTGCTTAGAGTAGTTACATTCATAATCAACATTTGGATTGCACCAAGAGTTGTGATGGGATGCTTCACTCTGTCTTTGGAGAAAAAGAGAGGAAGAATGCTCTATAGTTACTAAAGATATATATAGAACAGACAACAAATTATGGCTACAGTTCTGTACCTGATCTTAAACCAAATACATTGAAATTTAGTCCCAGGCATGTAGTCAAAGTATTATGTGAATAATCAATGAAAGCTGAATGCTTTTGATGTAAATTAAGAGTTTTTTTTGTTTTTGTTGTTTTCTTCTTGTTTGCCTTCATATCATTTTTGGTTTGTGGTGACCCAGTAGTGGCTTTTAAAACACTAGAATAAAATAAAAGGTCATTATTTTAGCCATGTTCCCAATTTAGATAGCTCTCAGTTTGCCAAGTGAAATTTCCCAACCAAAAACAATTTACCTATTTAATTTGAACCTTTCTCCTTTACTTTTCTTCCAAATATTTTTTTAAGCTAAGGAAGGTGAAGAGATCTTACTGAAGCATTGTTTCTGACATGTTAGCAGAGTGTCAAGTTAGAGATAAGGCAGTTTAATTACATCTAGACCAAAAGTGGGACAACAAGTAATTTTTGTTTCTTGATTACAGCGATTTATATCAAATGTCTATCCTCAAAACTAGTATCTCTTCAGTTTTAAGGAGAGTGCACATGTGTGTGCAAAGCCATAGAAAGCAAGTACAGATAAATGTAAATTGATATAAACCGACACAACAAACAACCCATTATTTATTTATTTCATGCACTTGTACCCCCTCCCCTTCTCACCCCTGTGGGGGACTCAGGGCAGCCTCAAAGCAAGCACCATTCGGTGCTTTCACAATCATAAAAACACCCAACAAATTCATTAAAACAACATTAAATAAACAGTTGTTAAAAACACACCAGTTAAAACCAAAGTCCAGGCCAGTTCATTGTCACTTCAAATTGCTTATGTCTTCTTCTCACTTGCCGCTATTCAATGATGAAATGCTTGGTCCCACAACCAAGTCTTGAGTTTCCTTCTAAAGGACAGGAGGGAGGTGGCCAATCTGATGACCCTAGGGAGGGAATTCCACTTATTGTAAGCAGTGCAGCTTACACAAAAGTAGTTCTCACAAGTATGAAAACTCTTAAGTCTGAGTGACAATATCTCACAAACATGAAGAAAAATAGCTGTTTTCTTCTCCCATGCAAGAACAAAGTGAGCAAAGATTTGCATCTCTAGGTGGGAATATACATAATATTTTGCTAGTTAGGTAACTAGTCATGGTTTTCATCTTTATTCTCATGTGAATGCAGAAGTATTTGAAGTAAAGACCTATATTTCTAACCTTAGATCATTTGCTCTTTGCAAATATTCAGAACTCAAAACATGTACTTGGATGAAGAAATCATTGTTTAATTTTTGATACACTTTACTCTAACAATTAAAATGATGAAAAATAACTGTATAGTTCACCCGCAGGCCATTCAAAACGGAAGTTATGCTGAGATGAGTTATATGTATGGGGAGACCTTGTTGAAGCTGTAGATGCTGAACTTTAGTCCTTGATCAAAAGCTCATGTATTCCAGCTATGGCTGGATCAACACTGCCATATGATGTACTTCAGTGTGGTTAAACTGCATGATAAGGGGCTAATGCATTTCCATATTGCCTTGTTGGCAGTGTAGATCCAGCCTATGTCTTCACCTGCTCTGTTGCCTGTAAAGATCCCTCCGCAGTAGACTAACACTGTGAGCTTTGTTTATATTGATCCATCTCTTGAGGGGTAGGGATAAGGTAGGCATGAGTTTAGTACAGGCAGTCTCCAAGTTACAAATATCTGACTTACAAATAACTCATAGTTAAAAATAGGGGTGAGACAATAGGAAGTGAGAGAAATCATCCCCTTGAAAGGGAAAATTACTCCAGTAAGAGATATCATGAGAAAAAGGTGACTTCACTAAAGTTTTTCCACAAGAAGCCATTTTTGTCTCAAAATCCGATTCTCACAGGGACAGAAAGTGAGATGAAATGTTCTTAACAGGGACACAGACAGCAAAACAAACACCACAGTAGTAGTGTTAACCCTTCCCTATGCTAGCCAAAATTTATGTATGTATATACATATATTTAGAGGGGGGGGGGCTGAAGCTACACTTTAAAAATGTACTGGTTCTGACTTACATTCATATTCAGCTTAAGAACAAACCTACAGAACCAATCTTGTTTGTAACTTGGGAACTGCCCGTACTTTAGTAGTGTATTTCTACTACAAGAGATAATAGCATTGGTCTTGAGAAATAGTTGCAAAAGTAATTTGCTTCCCAGTCATCTTCTAAATATCTTGCAGAATTCTGACACCTATACACACACACACATACATTATTAAGAAAAACACATTGGTAACTACAAAATCTGTTATGTAGTTGGTGGTTGTTACTTTTAGTTTATCAAAGGGTTGCTTTCAATTCTTGGTTGTTGTATCACTTCCATTAGTGCTGTTAGTATGTTGCAGTGTCCTCAAATTAGAAATATAACAACAGTAAAATTTCCCTTATCTGAAATGTTTGGGACAAGGAGTGTTGTTAGATTTTTAAAAATTTGCCTAACTCTGACAAATGTGGAGGGTTGATTGTAATGTTAATTATATCTGACCATAAAAATATAAAAGAACACCAACATTTTGTTGCATCATATTAACTGGACGTGGTTTTCCTTAACATTAAATACTTATATTCTTTTGAAAAAGCTTGTGAAAATAGATGCTGTGAAATTCATGCTACAGAATCATACAGTAAGCTTTTAAATTATGTTTTAACAGTTTTTAGAATTACTAGATTTAAGTTATGAACAAATCCAACTGGTTTTCCCCTTTTTTGTCTTCTCTTTTTCACCAGAGTAAACATTTTCCTTTCTTGGGTGTCAATGATAATTATGGTTTGAGTGACCTCAGATGCAGAACAACATTTTATACAGCTCTCACGCGTCTCCTTATGGTGGATCTGGGTAAGAACATGCTCGCAGTATTGCTTCCCCCTGTTCCTGAAACCAGAAAGGTCCTTCAACAAGATTGTCTGATGGGCGATTCCTAACTATGCTGAGGTTTCATAAAAATGTCGAGAAGATATTTTGTGTGTGTTAGGAGCAACTTTAGAAACTTCAAGTCACTTCTGGTATGAGAGAATTGGCAGTTTGCAAGGGGATGCCCAGATGTTTTACCATCCTGTGGGAGGCTCTCTCATGTCCCCGCACAGAAAGCTAGAGCTGGCAGATGGGAGCTCACCCCGCTCCCCAGATTCGGTCAGCAGTCCTGTTAGCACAAGAGCTTAACCCATTGCGCCACTGAGGGCTCTGTAGAAAAGATGATATGATCTTGTTTTCATTTTTTTTCTAAGCACACCATAATCTAATAGGTTGGATTCCAGTTTTATAAGAAGTTCTCTGTTTGAAAAAAGAGCTGTCTCCACTTTATTCTAGAATACAGTGTGAGAAAAGAGAAATTAAATGCAGCGAGGTTCCTTTGCTTTCCTCTGATATATTGTTCAAGCAGAAGGTTGACAATTGCTGCATTGGGCACCCCTAATTAAGCAGCATGTGAAGTCCTCTGGAATATCTGCAGAAGACCATCACAGCTATTTTCATTCTATTAATGGTTATTTGGACCCAGCCCAGGTTATTTGTCTACTGATATTCGCTTCAAGGCTAAATTTTCTTCATTGAAGACCATTCTCAGGAGTGTTGCTTTGTAAGAAAATATGTTTAGATATGGCTTGCTAGGACATGAGCTTTGGGCACAAGATGAATCCCTCTTCCATAGAAGAACCCCCTTATTTGACATGTCTCTCATTCTAAGAGGAGTTGTCCATTCGTTCAGTTGTTTCCGACTCTTCGTGACCTCATGGACCATCCCACGCCAGAGCTCCCTGTCGACCATAGCTACCTCCAGCTCCTTCAGAGTCAAGACAGTCACTTCAAGGATGCCATCCATCCATCTTGCCCTTGGTCGGCCCCTCTTCCTTTTTCCTTCCATTTTCCCCAGCATAATTGTCTTCTCTAAGCTTTCCTTTCTTCTCATGATGTGGCCAAATCTTGGCCTCTACTATCCTTCCCTCCAGTGAGCAGTCAGGCTTTATTTCCTGAAGTATGGACTGGTTGGATCTTCTCACTGTCCAAGGCACTTTCAGAACTTTCCTCCAACACCGCAGTTCAAAAGCATCTATCTTCTGTCGCTCAGCCTTCCCTATCGTCCAGCTCTCACATCCGTAGGTGACTATGGGGAATACCATTGCTTTAACTATTCGGATCTTTGTTGCCAGTGTGATGTCTCTACTCTTCAATATTTTATTGAGATTGGTCATTGCTCTCCTCCCAAGAAGTAAGCATCTTCTGATTTCCTGGCTGCAGTCTGCATCTGCAATAGTCTTTGCACCTAGAAATTCAAAGTCTGTCACTGCCTCCATGTTTTCTCCCTCTATTTGCCAGTTATCAGTCATTCTTGTTGCCATAATCTTGGTTTTTTTTATGTTTAGCTGCTACCCGGCTTTTGTGCTTTTTTCTTTCACCTTGATTAAGAGTAAGCAGCTGAATTTGGAATATCCTATTCTTTTGGGGTTTTTTTGGTTTAGAGTGCAGTGAAAATCCATGATGTTTCAGTGTTTTGTGACATTAGTTTTTGATTGAATTTCAGAACTTAGGTGTTTTCTCTGCAGAGAAATCTTTTCACAATCGTTTTGCAAGACTAGAACAAGAACATACAAAGATGGCCTGTGTGCTACCAATGCCACTTTGATAGTTACAATAGCTTTAGGCGGAATCCCAAGAAACTTTGCTCTTGTTTTATAAAAGAGAGAGAAAAAATAAGTACAATGAGAGATTAAATAATGTTTTTCTGTAAAAGAAACCTAAATTTAGTGTTTTTCAATTTATTTGAATATGTCTGCTATCAGTCTGGGAATATTACTATTGCTCCCATATTACTGCAAGGAGAAAATTGAAAGAGACATTTATGCAAACTTATTTCCTTGTATCAGTGGAGTTTCCTAATCTTGTGTTATTTACTGGAAACAGATGCAATATTGGAATATACCTTAACAAAGTTTCTGCTAGCTAGCCCAGTCCCTCCTCCAACATAGGTCATGGAACTGGGGTTTTGACCTGAAATTAGCTTTTATTTGTTAATTAGCAGTGGCCTCAGATATGTCTTTTTGGGTAGCCTGCTGGCCAATTTCAATGGAGCAAGGGCAGCCTTACACCACTGCTGTCCCCTTCCTCCTCCACATATTCATGTATACACTAGATAATATAAGAGCTGACAAGGCAGAAATGAAGACTTACTGTCATCTTCTAGTTCTTTTGTAAAATTCTGTCTTCAGCATCCTTGTTGAATTTCATGCATACAACATGTCTCCAGAATTAAATGAAATTATTAAGAGAACTTAACCTTTTAGAGAAGAGCCAAAAACCCTTAAGAACAGAATATCCTCTTGTAGTATACAACCAACTATAATTATGCTAGGCAATGGTTTCAGTTGTTAGACTGAATAACCAGCAATCTCTATGAGGGTCCCGTGAGGGAGAAAAGCAAGATATAAATAAAGATTTATTATTATTATTATTATTATTATTATTATTATTATTATTATTCTGACACAAAACACAGTATGACACAGTAAATGAGATATGTATGCTGGAATTATTATTATTATTATTATTATTATTATTATTATTATTATTATTATTCTGACCCAAACACAATATGACACAGTAAATGAGATATGTATGCTGGAATTATTATTATTATTATTATTATTATTATTATTATTATTATTATTATTATTATCTGTCAGGAAAACAGATTTCCCAGTGCATAAAAACTGCAGAGTTTTCTTTTTCAGTGCCCCAAAAAAGGTACTCTCCCATAAAACAACTTGTTTCATATCATGCACTCAAGAGACAAAAATGAAGTAGACTTTGATGGAAACAACGTATTTGGTTTACTCACAGCCTTTGTGTTCAGCATACACAGGTACAAAAAATGTATTAGTCCAGTTTCAAATATCTTTGAGATGGTTCCCTGTGTCAGCCAGCCAGGGAACAGAACAGCTATCAACAGGTCACATCGTCAAAAGGAGAGAGAAAAAAGAGCATGTGGTCTGCAGCCCTTTTTATAACTTCTCAGTAACCATGGAGTAAAGGAAGCTGCACACCCAGAACATACATACAGGAAACAGTAAGCAGCAAAATCATAGACAAATAGATTGCTAGAGAAGGCTTGATGAAGGTTGTCATTTCCAACAAAAATACCCTCCACTGAATGTCCCGTCTTATAACATGATTTGTTTCTCCTCTGTTTGAAGCCCTTAACACAGTCAATTAAAAGAATGTGCATGTTTCTTCTTTCTCATCACCTGTTCTAAGAGGTCTTTTCCAACAATCAGTGAAAGCACTCAATCCAGATCAGAGGACAGAGAGCTGTCTGCTCTGATAGCCTCTGATAGTTTGGTCGGTGCCATAAGAATCCAAGGTCTCGGGCCCGGGCCTTCCCCTGGTTGTTTCTTACTCACCAGCCTCAGCCTATTGTGTGGTATCATACTAGTTTCATTTGCAACTTGTTGCTACATCCCACCTCAACCTTCTTGTCCATTCTCTTTCCTTTCTTTTTTCTAGAATGTGTGGTTACCCAGGCCCTTTTGGTCAGACTATCTTGTTCCCTGTCTTGTTCTAGCAGGAAAGCAGCAGTGCTGTGCTCTCTGTTCCTTACTCTTACAACTCACATAGAATCCCGTTGCTGCCCTTCCAAGAAGACATGTAAATACATTTCCATCTAAGAAATCCCATGCAAATATATCTTGGCAGCGTCGCTTTCCAAGTCAAGCAGGCCAGTTATTCGAGGATCCTGCTGTATACTAGACTCTGAGATTTCACTGAACTTTCCCTAAGATTTGACTTTGTGATAAGCATCATTTATATGTGTAGCATCATTTGTATGCAGCTCCTGTCATCCTGGTCTAAGTGATCATAACAATGGTTGGAGTTCTTCCAGACCATTTCATTCTTGGTCCCCACTTTCCTTATCCAGGAGCCAGTTCATGTTCCATTCCCGTAGAACATGCACAACCCTCTTTGGCTTGTTTTGGGTCCAGTGTGGGATGAAATAGGCACATCGCTAGTGAATCCTAGCAAGACTAAAATGTTTTGTTTCTTTTAGTGGTAGCCCTGGGGATATTTTAAAATAGCTGGTCTGTATGAACCAGGTAGTGATTGAACCAGGTAATGCAAACTTTCTACATTGGGCTGTGTATTACGCTTTTAAAATATTGTACAATGTGTTGTTGAAGGCTTTCATGGCTGGAATCACTGGTTTGCTGTGGGTTTTTCCGGCTGTATGGCCATGTTTCAGAAGCATTCTCTCCTGATGTTTCACCAACATCTATGGCAGGCATCCTCAGAGGTTGTAAGGTCTGTTGGAAACTAGGCAAGTGGAGTTTATATACCTGTGGAATATTCAGGGTGGAGAAAGAGCTCTGGTCTGTTTGAAGCAAGTGTGAATGTTGCAATTGGCCACCTTGATTAGCATTGAATAGCCTCACAGCTTCAAAGCCTGGCTGCTTGCTGCTTGGGGGAATCCTTAGTTGGAAAGTGTTAGCTGGCCCTGATTGTTTCTTCTCTGGAATTTCCCAGTTTCTGAGTGTTGTTCTTTATTTATTGTCCGGATTTTAGTTTATTAATACTGGTAGCCAGATTTTGTTCATTTTAATGGTTTCCTCCTTTTTGTTAAAATTGTTCACGTGCTTGTGTATTCCAATGGCTGTCAGAGTGATCCAACATTTCTGTGTTCTCAAATAACATTCTGTGTCCAGGTTGGTTCATCAGGTGCTCTGCTACGGCTGACTTCTTTTGTTGAATGAGTCTATAGTGCCTTTCATGTTCTTTGATTCGTGTTTGGGTAATCCTGCATTTTGTGGTCCCTGTGTAGACTTGTCCACCGCTGCATGGTATACGGTAGACTCCTGCAGAGGTGAGAGGATCCCTCTTGTCCTTTTCTGAATGTGGCATTTGTTGGATTTTCTTAGAGGTTCTGTAGATACAGTTTGTAGGCTATGTTTCTTCATCAGCTTCACTATGCGGTCAGTGGGTCCCTTGATGTATGGTAAGAACACTTTTCCTCTGGGTGGTATTGTACAACAATCAGAGAGATTAAGTGCCTGAAAAATAACCATGAGATGTTTCACGCCTCACTTATTAGGTAGGATTTCTGTGTAAGTTACTTTTCCTTTCTTAGTTTTGTTTTTTAGATAATACAATGGCAGCTGTGTCAGACTCATAACACAATTGTTTTAATACTATTCTCTGTTTTCCCACCACCCCCCTTTTTTTTCTAGGAGAAGATGAAGATGAGTTTGAAAACTTCATGCTTCCTCTGACAGTTTCATTTGAAACAGTAGCCCAGACATTTAACAGTAGCTTTAAACAAGAGGAAGCAAAGGTAGGCAGTTTTCAATAGTATGGTGAAATGTGATTAACTATAAATTACAGGCAATTTTTTAAAATAAACAAAAAAAGGCTGTGAGTACAATTTGTCCAAAATAACTTCTTAATTTCAATGAAAGCAGATTGATATTCTCAGTTTGGCCAGTTTGTGGTACTTTTCCCTCTTTTTCCTAATGTTGTATTTTTAAATATATATATATCTGTATGTCAGATTTAATTGTTAAGTCCTTTGGAGTATGGTTCTGTGTTCTATACCATGAAATCATGAAATATTCATAACTAGGACAAGATACTAACTGGAAAAGGAAGAAACAAATTCAAATGAACATGGAGGAGAAAACTAAGGAAGGAGTGCGTGCCCTTCCTATTTGCCACATCTACCTGCCATAACCCTATTTGTTAGTTTTCCTGTTTCCAGGGCTATGTCTTCCCAGTTTGAGGTGGAGTGATGTAAGGGCCTGCATCCATGGAGAACATTAATGGCGGAATGAACATACCCAGATCTTTTGTTTGCCATGCAGTGGTGCAAGAAAGATATAGCATTGAACGTGTTTCCTAAGTGCTTGACAAATAAGCATGGAAACAGACATGCTTCCAAATACTTAAAATTCACCATAAAATTTACAGAAAGGAAATTCGTGTTGTCATGACATTGTTTCATGTACTTGTTCTCCCCTCTACCCCCCTCCCCTCAGTGGTAGGCGATAGTGTGTAGCAGGGTTAGAAACAACCTTCCATATCACACATTTCCTTTAGTAAAAAGTATGGGTGAATTAGATATAGGATTACTCTTCTTTGTGGCCATCTGATGAGTACTTCTATGTTTTGATGCCAACAAAAATATTCTTTGTGGAATCTGTGCCTGATGTATATTAAGTGCTTTTTCTGCCACTGAGCACTTCTGTTTGGTTTTTTAAAGGTATTTATTTCTGGGTTGTTGTGGATTTGCAGAGGTATATACTACATAAAAACATTGTATGCTTAGAACATTTCTTCCAAACAAGAATTTAATATATAAATCAGGAGTTTATTAAATGGCTGGGCATATATGTATAAATAGGAACTGGTCTTGAAGTATTGCGTTCTTAAACCGAACAAAGTGATTAGGATAACTGATAGCTAAATAAGGTTTTTATGTGCCTGTGGGAGCCATATTAGGATTGATTTGACAAGTCAGTTCAGCTGTGGCAACAGTCATATTATCTGGCACAACATTATGTTTTATTAGTAAAATCCTTAAGTGTAGCAAGCTGTTTGTGTCAAAACAACAGTATATTTTAGGAAGGAAAAGACTTGCTAAGTGGAAGCTGCATCATCAAGAACGAAACCCATTAGCATAACATTACATCAAATAGATTGGCTTCTACTATTATGAACAGTTAACTGTGCACTCTGGAGGTGGCTATTTCAGATACATTGTGCAATATTCCTAGAAGCGGTGTCAATAATTTTCCTTTAGCATTTTAACATGCAATGGAAAACCCCTTAGTGTTATTGTTCCATCCCTGTTACTTTCAGAAAAGCCTGTGATCCAGGGTGCTGCAATCTAGCTCTTTCTTGGTGCTGGTTCTGCAGACAACAACCTTGCAGCTTAATGCAGCCATTCCTCTGGTGGTGAAATCCAAGAAATAGTCAGAGCACGGTTGCTTAACAAGCCAGTACAAAACATTTTTCTGCCTGATGTTGTTGTGTGTCCCTCCCACACACAACTACACATTCAGGGCCAACAGTTGAATCTTACTTCCCGAGGAGCAGTTTAATTTGAGAGCGCCTGACAGGCCATGTGGCAGACACACAATGGTTTCCTCCAATAAAGGTAAGGAGTCCAAAGGATCATGAGTAATGGCCTGGGAAGCAACTACTATTGCTGCCTTTTTCTGCCCCCCTCCCAACAAACCGCAGCATGCAGTGCCCAAGAAAGCTGTGTCTCTCTGCCTACTTCTGTTATCTGCTAGTTCGTGCAGATATTGCTAGGAAGAAGCACCCTCCAAAAGGACAATGCAAAATATTACTTGTGTACAAGTCTTCATGTGTGTTTAAAGAGGCTTGCAAAAGTCTGACCACATGTAAAAAAGAAATCTGAAATGTAGGGTATATTTGCTTCACATTATCTTTGATGCTACTTTATGTAAAAACTGATTCTTGCTGTGGAAAAAAAATATGAAAAGTGCTGTTCTGATGCATCAATGAAATGTTTTGGCAGCTAATAACATGAATAATTTCTGGCTTTGAACCAAAAAAAGTAAATTTCTACATGTACTTTAAGCTTGAATTTTGAGCTTAAAGATCACTTAGAAAAATGGATTAGCTTTCAGTGCATCTGTTCAAGGGAGCAATTTGAATTTAAGGCTGAGATTTTAAGTGGGTTTTAAAACTATCTGGATGAAAAATGGAAGGCTTCTCTCCATTTGAAGACTTTATCAGTGCTGAAACCATTTTGCAGTCACACTGTCTTGTTTGATAGAGAAACATTCTTACTGGGGGAAATTTTTAATGGAGTTTCAGTGTTATATCCCTAAACTAGCAAGTTCTTAATGACCCTGGAAAGTGATTGCTTTGATTACACTTTAATGGTATTTGCAAATAAAATCACAAGTAATTAAGGGGAAATCTCCAGGCTTTTGAGCAACTTTGATGCATGATAACTGCCTGATTCAGCTCCATCTAGAGTAATGCTGTGTAGACAAGAGCTACTGAGATCAATAGCAACATAATGATAGTGGCAGAATTAAGTGAGTAACCTGAGAACTGTGCCTTCAGAATGCATGCAGCTGCCACAAGCTTGGGCCACACAGTGCACTCCTTGCTTCCGTCCTAAATGTTCATCAAAAGACGCCCTGCAGGAAAATGGAGTTAGATGCTCTTTATTGCTGATCGTGTCTCTTGCCACATTTATCAGGGAAATTGGATTAGCAGTTGGCAGCTGCAGGTAGACAAGGTTCTGCAGTGATTAAATATGCAGCTTGGCTGCATTTGTTGTGACAGACCTTTAGTAAATTCTACTGTAAGCACCATCTGTCTAATTTGTATAAAGAGAAACTTCACGCTCTAAGCCACCACCGCTAAAGAACTGAATGGGTTGCTTTATCACAAAGAAAACTTTCCCTCTAAAAAACATCTTTTAAACATAATTTATTGAGTTAAATTGTGGTTTTTTTTTCTCTTTTGCTTTTGCTATTTATCCTGATGAATAAATAATACATGGTAAAGCGCTTTCAGGTACCGTTTTAGAAGTACTGGAAACAAAAAAAATTATTCTGTAAAATGTTTAGTATTCCTAACTGCAGGGAGGTGACACTGTTAGAATATGACTTACAAAATGGACTATGACTGCCAAAGTCATTTAATTTGTGGTTTCTACTAGGGTTTTTTTTCTAATTGCCTTTTTATGCATCCAAAATGCATAGCTTAAAAAATAGTTGACGTAGGGCACGTTAGCTTTGTTGATATTCCTCTGTAGTTGACATTGCTGCTCATAAAGAATATGTTCAGTTTTGTTTTCTAGGAGGGGCTAACCAACTACATGAGGATGTTATCATGCCACGCCATGATCTGGGACGTGGAAAATTCATTGTTGCAAGTTGATTGCCAATTTTCTCACCACCGTCCTCTTAAGGAAAACTTGCATTGGCCCTGGAAATTCTGGTCAATAATATATTGACTTTCTATACTTAACCTCGGTGGTACTTTGATATTATTTATGACAATGATTAGTTTGATAGGAACAAATAAAACAATGTATCCCAGGAAGAGGAGTGGTTAAGTAGCCTGCTATCTATAGCTGGTTCACAGAAACTCAAAGCTCTTGAATTATTTAAAATCCTTGATTTTCAGCTTGCACACATTAAAAGTTTTCACACTAAGTGCCAAATGTTGCAAACAGCACTTTAACAGAATGATTTTGCTTTGATCCCTGTAGCAGTTCCTGAATAATTTATCACAGGTTATTGCCTTAATTCTGGAGAGGGATCGTGCAATAAAGGCAGATGAAAACACTCCAGTCGAAACACCTTGGGGCCTGCTCATTCCTCTGACATGGCTCTTTTGTTGGAACTATTTAGAGGTTATTAAGACGTGTCTGTAGAATTAAGAGTGTGCTGTAAGGAGGAAGACAGCCATCTTAATTCTAAAGACAAAGCACTATGACCCCTCACCTTTTTTGTGGCTGTTATTATATAGTAGAATTATGAGGGTAATATAGCTGTACCCAGAAGTACAACTATATAGTTGTCAGACTTATCCAATATAAAATCCATTTTTTGGGGCGTTGGAATGGCAACATTGGCTCCAGTTGAACAAGTTTAGGAATATGGCTCAGACTGTAGGGATACAATTTCAGTTTTGTGCCGCCCATCTCCATTACTTTTCTAAAATCATATGGAACTTTCTAATCTGAGAATTTGAGGAAAAGAAAAAAAACACAGCAGAGCCAATTTTGAACTAGACTTTTCTTTGTTCATTTCTTATGGTATATATGAGGATCGAGTGGAAAGTAATGCCAGTCAGGTCATTACTCCTTTATTAACAATATGAACCATATGGAACTACATATGTGTACAAAGCAACTCTTTGTTTACATGGTTCTATTCAAAATAGACTCCATCAGTGGCAATGCATTTGTGACAACTTTGAACCTGCTTGTCAGATCCACTTTGGAAAAAACACTTTGAGGTGCACTCTGCTCCATGGTCTGATAGTATCTCCTACTTCCCCTGTTATCTGAGCACCATCGCTGAAGGCTTTCTTTCATTAGTCTGAACAGGTGAAAGTCTAAGAGCACCGGATCAGGGCTATAAAGCAGATGTGATACCATTTGTGTGAAAGCCTGTGATGTTGCCAAAGAAGTGTGGGACCATGCATTATCATGGTGTTACTTGATTGCATTCTGCTATTTGTGTAGTGTTTTCTTATGGGTGACTTCTTCAAGTTTCCAGAGTGATGCAGTGTTTGCATTGGTGATGAGACCTGGCATAACTTATATGAGCCAAAGGCTAAGAATAGTCCATGGAGTGGTGGCGCTCCAACTTCCCTACTCTATTCAAAATCTAGGACAGAATATTGTGATGGATGTCTTCTAACATGAGTAGGGGTGATTTTGCTTGATTTCCCTGAGTATGGGACAACAATGAAGAATAATCACTACAATGTATTCTTCCTTGCCTCTCAACCAACAAGACAGAACTAAACTTACTGCAAATAGGTTCTTTGTTGACTTGTCCAGGAGCAGACGAACCAGGGTACTAGCTCCAACGAGATTCAGCTATGACATAGAAACCTTCTTATGAATCCTGTTGTTTAGTCCTCAAATAACCACATTATATGTTGTTCAGTAGTGGTAACTGTGCATCTTAGAAACAGGTGTGTTTCAGTTGCACAGAGAAGATGATTCCTCAATATGCTTGCGTTCCTTGGATACGTTACAAAGCATTTCAGGTTCAGGAGGAGGATTCAAGCATTAAAACCACTGTTGATTTTTCTCTGTTTTCTTGCCACTGGAAGGGTCCAGTTGGAAATGAGAGAATTTATTTATTTATTTTCTTCATTTCTATACCGCTTTTCTCACCCGGGTTGGGGGCAGGGGGAATGGACTCAAAGTGGCCTCCAACATATACGGTAAAATTCAATGCCTCACATACATAAAAACCTAACAATAATAATAAAACAATAATAACATACAGCTATCAATTAAATCATAAAAACGCAATGACATTTAAACATTAAAATGTAGAGTTAAAAACATATTAATATAAACATTAAAATCACACAAGCCAACAATCCTAGTCACTTGCCTCAAACAGACAAGAGTTCTTTGTCCCACCCTGGACATTCCACAGATATATAAACCCCATTTGCTTTGTTTCCAATGAACCTCACAACCTCTGGGGATGCTGGCCATAGATGTGGGTGAAATGTCAGGAGAGAATGCTTCTGGAAAGTAGCCATACAGCCCGGAAAACTCATAGCAACCCAAACAAGTAGAACTTCTTAAATATACAGTTGGGAGTTGCGGTGGCACAATGGGCTAAACCCTTGTGCTGGCTAAACTGTTGACCTGAAGGTTGGCAGTTTAAATCCGCAAGACGGGGTGAGCGCCCGTCTGTCAGCCACAATTTCCCATGCGGGGACATGAGAGAAGTCTCCCACAGGATGGTAACACATCCAGGCATCCCCTGAGCAACATCTCTGCAGACAACCGATTCTTTCACACCAGAAGCGACTTGTAGTTTCTCGAGTCGCTTCTGACACAATATATATGCATATGTATGTATATACAATTAGATTACACATTAACACCTGAACTAGTTAATCAGACCTTTAGTGTAAACTTTTTATTATATCGTTATATGAAGGGTTGCAAGCAATGTTTAGAAGTTTGAGCCACCTACCACGTACAGTTTTGTTTTTACAGACAAAGCTAGTATTTTTCAGACACATAAATGGTGTTGGTTACACTTTTGACCAAAAAAGGTGGGAAGGCTGCCACCTACTTAGAACAAGCTTTGTGCAAAAAAAAAAAAGTTTTCTGGCATGGTGTGTTTGGATTTTGTGGAATACTCTTGATTATGTCTGTGGATATGGGGCATTGAGCAATATATGGGAGTGTTTATTGTGTGAGAAAATACACCAGCATAGGTCACGCATATTTCCACATTCCAGCATGGGGCTACATTAGGTTATTGGTAACTAAAACTTATGTTTGGGTATCACACTCGAATCTAATCATTTAAACTTTTGAGGCATGTATATAATTAGCAGAATAAGAAGAATCTTCTGCCTGTCCTAGAAAGAGAGATATAATATAATCAGGCTTTCAAAAAGCTATGTGATAATTCACCCCATTCCACTAACACCTTACAAGTGTTCTCATGAATCTTACATTATTGTCTTTTCTAGTGAGTCATATCTTCTCATGATGTCCAAAGTACAACAATCTCAGTGTAGTCATCTTGGTTTCTAGGGAGTCCTCGGGCTTGATTTGCTCCGGGGGCCATTTATTTGTCTTTTCAGCAGTCCATGGTTTTGTAGAACTCTTATCTATCACCACATTCTCAAATGAGCTGGCTTTCTCCACTGCCCAGCTTTCACAACCATACAAAGAAATTGGAAATATGATAGCATGGATCGATCACCCTAACTTTATTTGTTTATTGAGTGAAATTATGTGCTACCTTTTTCTCAAAATTGGTTCACTATCCAATGATGTATTTCAATACTTCAAAATATTGCCTAGGTCCTTCATAGCTGTCCTTTCAAGTCCAGGCACACATCTATACCAGGCAGGTGAACAGGCTGTTACTTTGTGAAGCGGTAGTATGGTTGAACGTAATAGATGTCACAAATTAGAAGGGGTGTGCAATGTGGTTAACCCGTGCCATTTTCAGTGTCTGGATTTCGTTGCCCTGCTCCCAATCTGTTTTTCCAGAGCTTCCCAAATTTGACCGGTGAAAAATCAATTTTTCAGTTTGGTTCAGTAGACAAAAGATCCAGAAAAATCCGACCCATTGCCACTAATGGGGGACTTGCAAGGCTCCCCTTTCCGTCATTTTTAGGGCATCGGTCTTAAAAAACCACTATTTCTGATGGCCTTTCCTTTAATCTCTTTCAGCTAGCCCTGGGCTAGAGCATCAGACTTAAGAAACCACTGTTTCTGGCATCCTTTCCTTTAATCTAATTCAGCTAGATCTGGGTTATGGTGTCAGGCTTAAGAAGCCACTTGGTCTGGGATCCTTTTCTCTAATATCCTTCAAACAGACCTGGGGATGAATTGAATTCTCCTCTTAGGACTCAAGGGAGTCAGGCTATCCCCTTCTTTCAGTAAACCACCCCAATATTTAAACAAACAATCCCCCAAATGCCCTTTCACAGCTCATAAATGAAATTGCCAAAGAAAAAGATTGGAATTGAGTCCTAAAGCAAGATTTTAAGAGCAGCGGAGGAACTGAGATAGAACGTGGAGCACGTGAGCGGCTTTCTTCTTCTGATTGGATCAAGCCAAGGCAGCAAGGCTCACAGTCTCACAGGGCTGCCTCCCTTGCACTCCACATGTAGCCGAAAGAAACCAAAGTCAGCCATTTTTGGCAGCCATATGGTTTGTTGCAGATGAATAAAATGGCAGCAGCGCCTGTACTGTTATGGCTGGCCGAAACAGCCGGAGCACATTTTGAAAATCGTATTCATTAACAACCAACGAATTAGCACTGACCATGGTAAATGTAGTACTACAAGCAAGCTACATATTGTGTTAATTTTATCTGATTAGCCTTCAGGGGAAATAATTCCTGTTTAAAATCGGTCTGGTTAATATTCTGGTATAAGTTGAATATCCTTATGCACAGGACTACAAGTGTTTTGGATTTTTTTTCAGATTTTGGAATAACTTTATTTATATAAATGTACATAATGAGATAACTTAGATCAGCTCTCGTTTTAACCACTGATGGAAAGTGTTTTTAAATTGTGTGTTTTGTTTTATTTTATGTATTGACAGTGGTTGTTTATAACTTTTATGTGATATTTTTTTATACTCATGTACTGTTATTTATTCAGCACTTGCAGTGCCTTGTTAGCTGCCCCGAGTCCCTTTTTGGGAGATGGAGGTGGGATACAAATAAAGTTTATTATTATTATTATAAACACAAATGCATGGATGTTTCATGTACATCTTATGCACATAGCCTGAAGATAATTTTATACCATTTTTAAATAATTTTGTACATGAAGTAAAACTTGTGTATTGAACCATCAGAAAGTAAAGATGTCACCCACCCATGTGGACAGTTTTAGATTTTGAAGTATTTTGGATCTGCATAAAGGATTCTCAGCCTGTAAAGGGACTAACCATGCACACATGGATAGCGATCACAAATGTTATAATATTTCTGATGTCTAAAAATGGCATGAGCAGTTTTAAACATTTTTAATAGACTACTCAAAAGTTTAATTTTCATCTTCTAAACAAATGGCACTAAAGTACTCTGTAACCATTACTTTTTAAGAAGTGTGTGTTAAATTATTTCTGAAATTGCTTAATAAACATAATAATGGGCCAACATTTTATAAAATAAACATTTCATCCTAACAATTTCAACGAATTCAATAATAACATATAAACTATATCTAGTAATGTTTATGGCAATGTATTTATATTGCATGTTCATCAGCTACTTATGTTTAAAATATAAAGCAGAACTACCTTATAGATTTTGTTCAGATAACATTTGAGAAGTGACCAAGTTGGAAAAGTGGTATCAATTATAATCCCTATTTTCAGTTTAAAGAAAAGAATAAGGTGGGAGAGACAGATAAAGATAGTTGTGTTCTCTTAAATGTATTTTCAGATCTTTAATTCAGTACATGATGTCATGTCTACTATTACAAGCTTTTGGATTAATGTTTTTATTTGGGTTACAGACTGAGGCTCTGAAGTTCTATAGGGGGAGGACATTTATACTAATGAATTAAAATCAGATATTGTGTTCATTATTGGCTGATCATTACTCCATCTGCTCAGTGCTAACATGAAAATCAATTACTGTGTCTCCTTCCCACTGACAGCGTATGTTGATCGGACTGGCAAGAGATCTTCGAGGGATTGCCTTTGCTCTGAACACAAAGACCAGCTACACCATGCTGTTTGACTGGATGTATCCTTATTACTCGATGACAATACCGGCTCTGTGCACGGAGGGATACCAGGTCCCTTGCATTAGTTTAATAGTGTGGCACAGTGGGGAAGAGGAAACAAAGCTAAATGAACTAATGTGTAATCAGCTAAAATTACAGTGCAGTTGCAACCGTGCCATTAACTGTGAGGGTGACATTTGGAAATAGACTACAAAGAGGTCACGGGGGGAGAGGGGTTGTACTGCTCTAATCCTTAAATATTACTCTTACCTTGTAAACCTGCAATGCTGTAATAGTCCTATAGTGCTTTAATTTACAATGTGATGTTACTGTGCTTAGTTAAAATATAGATACTCCTTTTAGGTGTCTCCTTTGTCGTTCACACGTGCCTTATTTTATTCCAAAATGAAGAATCGTCTTTATAGTTTCATTTGCTGCTCTGCATATAACTGTGAGATCTCTTTTCACGTCATAAATGCTTTAGGCCAGTGAAGTTTCTCCTTTGCTTTGTTCCACTTTACTAGAAAGCAGAACAGTCTTTTACATAAACTTTGCATAATTGTTTCTGGGCTTGAGGGACACGATGGGTAAGCGGAACAGCTGGAATTGTCAATTAAAGTACATTTGGTCCCAACAGTAAAAGATAATATGTTTTCCTAGAATCTTCCAAGCTGTCCACCTTTTTTTGAAATCAACTGAGCTTGTTTAAAGGAAGTATGTTAGATACATTCCATCTGGATTTCAAGTCACCATTATCTTCAAAGAATAGAATTAAAGTCCATTATTCCACATTGTTCTGTTCAAAAAAGATTTATGCTTGTTTGAAGTCACCTTAGATAACTTTGGACTTTAGGATAATCTTTAGATGTCCCATTTGGAGGTTTTCCCAAGCAATGCTTAAATTTGTTCCTCTTTTTTAAAAAAAAAAAAACATCTAAACAGTGGGCTATATTTATTTTAATTTTTTCATATTTATGTAAAAATAACACAATTATAAACAATAAATATTTTAGAAAGTAAAAGAAAAGAAAAATGCAAGTGACAAAGCCGTAATCATCAACATTGCACCATGTGGATTAACTGTAACAGTAGCTCATTTCTACTTCAGATAAACAACATTTACAGAACACTCCAGTTCTGCTAGCTAGAATCATTTGTGGTTATACTTAGATTTCCTCTCGGTTTTGAAAGAACTGCTCAGATTGTAAGGTCTTTCCACTAGATGGCAAAAATGAGCAGAATTCATCAGCATCTTTGACTTGGTTTTTGACCTTTGCATCATTATATTTTATATATTGTAACAATTCTCTGGTAATGTTTGAAAGTGAATAGCCAAACAGGCAGAATAGTAATGTTATCTCGCAAAATAGGATTGTTTGTAACAGGCTTGCTTATACTAATTGGGTTTCTGTAACAAATCAGACTCCTTGGAAAAAGGCCAAAGGCTTTTCATAATTGTATTGACAAGAAAATGAATATGATAAATGGTGTTCATTCAGTTGAGAAAAGATTTATAGTTTTTCCCTCTGGGCAAGGGATGAAGAGCAAATATGTGTAATAATAGAAAATCTGTTACAAAGTTGTTATTTGATCTTTCATAAGGCTTTATTAAAATATCCCCAAATATTTTAAAGGCATTTCAGATGGTAAGGTATAGGCTGGTTTTGACATATTCTGCTAAGGAAAGGTGCATAAGAATGTGGAAATAAAACTACCATGAATATGAAAGTCATTCATTTTCCTTGAAATATGGATATGTCAAGCTGTCAATGATTCAGATAGAAGTTGCATTTTTAAAGTTGCTTCACTTTGTGTATTGGGAACATAGGGCACTGCTAAATGTAAAGAGAAATCTATATAAATAAAAATGTAATGTTCGTTTGTGGGATTAACATAACTCAAAAACCACTTAATGAATTGACACCAAATTTGGACACAAGACACCTATCAAGCCAACGAGTGACCATCACTCATAAAACACTGAAAAACACAGCAGAAGAGACTTTAAAGCCAAAAATTAAAAAATACATTACAACACTGCGCAAAACCACACACACACACATACGCAAACACACATATATACACATATACACAAATATATGCACACATGTATACACACACAAAACACATATACACAGACTGGGCCACAGCAATACGTGTAGTGGACGGCTAGTGTTTTATAAAATCATATGGCATTGATCCTGTCTTATTAAGTTTTCTTGGGAATATTGTAGTTTTTATTTCAAATCACTATACCTGTTTTGAGTGTATTATAACATCAGATATGTAGGGTTAACATAAGCTTTGGTCAGCTTAATTTATTTCATGTTAGTCCATGCTTTGAGAAATATGAGGTGTCTCTTAAAGTAGCATCTGTTGCACTGTATGTTCAGGGCAGGATTACCTTGAAGAAGTTAGTTCATTGAGGTTGTATTTTTAATGTCAGGAAATGGGAGAAGACATTTGCACAGTTTTATGCCACCTGTGCTGAAATAACATAATTGGCTAAGAATATTACATATTCTGGCAGTCTTAGATGACACACACTTTCTTGACCTATTTCAAACTGGCTTCAGAGCAGGGTATGGAATTGAGACGGCTATGATCGCCTTAGTGGATGATCTCTGTCTTAACACCGACAGGGGGAATGTGTCTTTGTTGGTGGTTTTTGTACTCTTGGTGACATTATCAACCTTTCTGAAACACCTGGGAGGTTGGGAATTGGATGTATTGGTTGCAGTGGTTCAAGTTGTACCTCTCAGGCAGGTTCCAAATTGTGGTGCTTGGGGATAGCTACTCCTCAAAAAAGGAGCAGTTATGTGGTATCCCACAAATGGGCATTATATCCCCAATCCTTTTGCACATTTGCATGAAACTGTTGGGAGATATCATCCGTAGGTGGGGAGTTATCAATATGCTGATGACATCCAAATATATTTCTTCATGCCTTCAAAAACAACCTCAGCTAAGGATAATGTGTCTTCTCTGAATGCCTGGAAGAGGTAATGGGCTAGGTCAGGAAAAACAAATTGAAACTGAATCCAGATAAGATAGAGGTGCTTGCCCTCAAGGGTCCTAGCCATGAGGATGGAGGTGTATCAACCAGTTTTGGATGGGGTTATACTCCCGCTGAGAGACTGTGTTTACAGCTTTGGAGTTCTCCTGGATCCATCTCTCTAAATGTCAGCCCAGGTAGATGGGATGATCAAGAGTACTGATATGCCAACTGTGTCATTTTCTAGATTTTCAGTACTGAAGATGGTAGTGCGGACACTGATAACCGCAAGATTGGACTTCTGCATGTACTTTACATTGGGATGCCCCTGTACCAAGTACGGAAACTCCAATTAGTTCAAAACACAGCAGCCAGACTAGTTATAGGAACATCTAGGAGTGAGCATATTAAAGTCACTCCACTGGCTGCCAATTAGTTTCCAGGTAAAGTACGAAGTGTTGGTTTTGACCTTTAAAGCCCTACGTGATTTGGGTCCAGGTTACTTACGGGATCACCTTCTCCCATACCTTGCCCCTTTGGATACTTAGGTCCTCTAGAGGGCGATTAATCCAACCAGCTAGAACCCTTTTCAGTCATCACCCAGTAGACCTTTCATCTGCTGCCCCAAGATATGAGCGACCTGCCAGAAGAGATTCAACAGCTAAATAAGCTGTTGGAATTTAAGATACAACTGAAGACTAATCTCTTCCATCAGGCCTAACCAGTACATTTTAGCTTATGAATTTTAAACTTACGTGTCTTGTTTACTGTATTTTAATCTTTGTTCTGTGTATTTTTATATGTGTATTTCATAGAAATACGTTTCATTATGTGTATTTTATATAATGTTTATAATTATAAGTTTTTTAGCTATGTTGTGCCCTGACTTGAGCCATGAGGAAAGGTGCGTAAAAAATACAATTATTTCTATGTTGTTGTTGTTGTTGCAAGCAAAAACCTTGTTGTGCCAGCCTTGTTTGCTTCCCTTATATTGGATATTGATGTTTACACTTTTGAGATCAGCAGCCTTCAGTGACCTAGCGAGCAGTGTTTTGCCTAGTCAGCCACCAAGGTCCTCACCAGAAATTTCCAGTGCAGCTTTTAGAGGAACATGGTCCAATAAAAATAATTTTGAGCGACCAAGTGAGCTGCATCCATTCCTTCACCAATACTTTTGTGTAATCTCACACTGAATTTCCTAGAAATGTTCTCCAAATAATTTTATGCTCATGCAGAATACTCAAGATGTAAAAGTTGCCAACATCTTTACATTGTGGGATGCAAGTTTTCCAACATTCCCAAAATGACTGTCCCTCCCCTGTTGATAAAATAAATTGAAATTCAGTACTTGTTACTGGGATTTCTTTTTTTTTTTTCCAAAGGAAGGGGTACCTCAGTTTCAGTAAAGTTCTTCATATATTGGCTCATTGGAATTCATTTCACATTCAGTTTGTCTTGCAACAATTCCATAAAGGTACATTTCTCGCAGAGTCCTGCTATTTACTTGGTTATTCTATAAAAAGACATTTTTCTTGTTAACCTCAAATCTTAATACTTGTTCAAGCTTAGTTTTAGCATCTTAATATTAAAGGGATTTTTAATCCTCTGCTGGTGTTAGATTTTAAAGACTTCCTTTTAGCCTCAAATGAATACACCTACCCCACACCCTAGAGAAAATTCAAGTGAACACAGATTTTTCATATCTTTACTTTTTTCATCAGGGACAAGATTGGCAGGCATGATAAAAGGTCAGTGTTCCCATAACATGGAAATGGTGCAAGATATCTGAAAAATGAAAGAAGTACTACCAACTTTTTCCCACTCAGTGACAATTGGGGGTTGCTAGTCCAAAGAAGTAAAGAAACTTGTGTCAAAGACAATTTATAAATGGCACACCCTCTAAACCATTGATTCTCAACCTGTGGGTCCCCAGGTGTTTTGGCCTACAAGTCCCAGTTTACCAGCTGTTAGGATTTCTGGGAGTTTAAGGTCAAAACAGCTGGGGACCTACAGGTTGAGAAACACTGTTCTAAATTCAGATGAGGAAGGTGGATTGTCTTCAGGTAAGTGCCCAATAGCCCTGGAGAACTTGTACTCCAGGCTTTATTAAAGCAATTATCTTGAATGGTGTTGAAGAGAAGAATTCTGTACCTTTAGCACTCACCTGCTGAAGCTCAACTTCTAAAGAAACAAAAAGAGAGGAACCATCTATGAACATCCTTACGTAGAATATATAGAAGCTCTTTTCTCGACTTTATTCCAGTATATTTCCTGGCAAGATTCTACTGTTCTTATGATGAAGAAACTACATTTCAGTTTTGATTGCTTAGACAGTTCTTGATGTTCTCCAGAGTTTAATAGATGATATTATTGCAATACTTCATTTTTGGTGAAAGCATCTCACTTAAGATATTAGGAGCACCAAATATATTGATGAATGCCCTATATTTTCTTCCACTAAAGCTATATACATTTTGCTGAGTAGCACTGTTTGTTGATAAACTGTCTTATCGTTCTTGTAATTTTGGTATATTGTTGTTAATCATCTGCTAATTGGTCTAACAGGATCGAAATCCTGTCAGTGATAACTTAAGTTTTTAATTGTAGAATAAGAACTTGTTTGTTCATGTTAGCACAGAGTCTGTCAAATTGTAGTTTGACTCAAATTCATTGACAATTTATTGCAACCAGACAGCATGTCCAGGAACCTAACCAAGCTTTGAAACTATATTTATGCAGCACTATTATTCTGATCTTTATCTTTAACTTACGTTATATAAGATATCCATCATATCTTTCAATATTTCAAACAGCTATTGAGTTGTGGTATCGTGAGCCAGCATGTACGACACCTATTTTGAAGCTCATGGCTGAGATGATGCAAAACAGGTACAGTTCTTCATAGTCTTAATTGTCTTGATAGTGCCTTTAGTAACTGCAGAATGTGAACAAACCAAGAAGGTACAACATTCAGTAGTCTTGTTTGGAATAATCTCAAAACAAACTTTACATATGTTGAAATTGCATTTGAGTTGCTTTGTTAGTAAATGTGGACTTGAAAGGCAGTACCTTCATAAAATCGTTATTTTATTTTGTTTTCTACTGTTCTCCCAATATAGCGCACAAGACCTGTGTTGTAAATGTTTGTGCAAATGATTTCAATCCTTACAGCTCTTAGTGTAATCCTGGGCATATTTATCCAGATGCAAAACGATTAAAAATCCTGAGAAATGAATGCACTCCAGTCACGTAAGGGCTTAGATAGGAGTAAACACAATAGGACTTATTTTTGAGTTAATACACACGCTTTATCAATAACTTCATATCGGTGTAGTGACACTGAGACTCATGCGTGAATGAATTAAATAATGTATCTTACTTACACAGGAAGATTATAAAATGATTCAAAATTCCTTGTTGAAATGTATATGGTTACAACACAGTGTTTTAGTGTTACAGTTACTTATATACTTCTCATATATAGAGGTAAAAGAATGTGTGTGTGTGTACCAATTAGCCATCCTTAAACACACTTCACAGATTGACGCCTGTACTAAGTGAGCCACTTGTTCTAAATTCTCTTTGTCTTAGATTCATATTCCAAACTAACTAACTTAATTTTGATTAAACCTAACTGTTTTGACCATTGACCCTACTCTCTATTCTTTAATACAGTTGTATTTTCAAAAACACATTTAAACTCCTAGCCAGTCAGCTAGCATTTCTAACAGTCCATGCTCTCACTTTTCCCAGTAACCACTTTCCTTTAACATTATAAGTACCACCCGTGATAGTAGGTTATCTTATTTTCTTTAATACTGTTTAGACACAATGATTTTTGTACCAGTTTGGAATATTACACTGGACATGTGCATGTGCAGTGTAATATTCCAAACTGGAAGCCAGGTTTTCAGTGAATATAGTCAACATTTTCTAATTAAAATCAATTTAATCCCAAAAATTAAGCTCTCAATTGCTGTTTAACAATTTGATATTTTGTGATTTTAAAATCTAATTGCATATTGCATATTTTAATTTCCCAGTGTGTATCATTATAAAAAAAACCCAGTTAATCTTAACATCTCTCTCTCTATGTCTATTGCGTTTCTCAGAAATTGGTCAGAGCCCCCTGCTTTTCTGTTAGAAAAGTGGCTATTAGAGCTTCAGAAGACAGAGGTTCAGAAGGCACCTTTGCAAACACAGATAGAATTAAGCAAAGTACTGAGGTACTAGCAGATTAATTCTCCAAAGAGGGGGAGCTCTCTGAAGCTTTTGCATATTCATTATATTCATTTGGTATGCACCTATTTACCTATTGGTATGCACAAAGTCTGTGTTGCTCCCTTTAGAGAACATCATTAGGGATGGGTTTGCTTTTTCTTGAGTTGTGTATTGCATTACATTCTACAGGTTATAATGCATAATAAAATACACCTTGACATGGTGAAAATGTGTTGCAAAGTATCAAATTGTACATATTGACAGAATGAGAGTTTGCTTCCATATTTTTCCATCTGCCAGATGTTATCATTTTGTACTTCGCAGAATACACAGATATTGTAAAGTGGTACAGCCTTTTGAGAATCCTAAAAGCTTCTGCCTGGGCATGTCTATCCAAATGAACAAAACTCCTTTGCTCTAATCATCTGTGTGGAACAAGAGAAACATTTACAAGAATGGGGTGGAAGTAGGGGGTCTATAGACAATGGAAGTGATCATAACATTTGGGAAAGCATAGACCGGAAGCGCCTTTTTTATTTCAATCATTTTTTTAATGCTCCGACAAATGGTCATATGCATTTATACCGACAGAAACAACACCTAACAAGTATCTATACAAAACACTGTAAAATCCAACAGTTAAAAGCAGGATGTAAGCAGGATAAAACCGAGCATGCACAATATACATTGTGACAACACACGTGCAACATGCGCTAGGAACCGCACATTCACCGGTAAAAAGCCACTATAAAAGATCAGTCATGTTAAAAACTAAAATCAGTCATGTTGAAAACTTATATATAAGAACCCCTTAGGGGTAATCAACTCCACTCAGGCTAGATAATAGCATCCCCAGCACAGTTGATTGAGATGTCCGCAATCAGTCTTACCCTGATTTTTTTTATAAAGAAAGGTTGATACACCTGACACTTTTCACTTTGTGGTTGAAATAATTTCTGGGGAAGGGACATATTAGATAATTACTAATAATGGGGGAAGAATAGAGAGCTTGTAATCTTCCTAGAGAAACAATGGAAGGTGGCATCAAACTACACTGTTGGCAGTTGATTCCTGCACAAGATAGTTCTTAGGCCTCGGGCCTCATGAAAAAAAATATGTTTCAATGTGCAGTGCTCCTCTTTAGTGTGTCAGCCAGTTAACTAAATGCTTTCTTTGAAGATAGTCTCTTCCTTTCGCCCTCTGAATTTTCCTCTTTGTCAAATCTTGAAATTTCCACAAATGTGCCAATGACTTCTCTTGCTTTTAAGTCCTTTCTATGTTATAGATCGCTCAGCACTTGAATTCACCATCAGTATAGGAAATAAACATGTTTTAAGTTGATTATTTAAGATGTGTTTTTTTCCCCAGATCACAGCGTTTAAATTTTGATGTGTCATCTCCTAATGGGATTCTACTTTTCCGGGAGGCTAGTAAGATGATTTGCACTTATGGTGAGTATGTATTGGTGATTTGCCATATATACTTCTTTACCTGTTTAGTAAGAAAAGCAAAAGGCTTCATTTAATCAAGCAGGACTTGGATTCCCATTAGATTGATATTCACCACTATTGTTAGGCAAAATGATGGACATAGAATATCTTTGAAAAAATAGAGAAATTTCTACAGAAATTTTATTTATCTAAAAGACACATTCAAGATGGGATAGCCATAATTCTTTGTGATAGCACGCTTGGCTGATCTGTGGCAGATCAGTTTGGAAGCAAATAGGGCTGGTCCATGAGATCACGAAGAGTGAATAAACTGAATGAATAAACAAGAACAAGGGCTATAGTAATAATTTCTATTAATTAGTAAATAAAAATATGTACATTCACGATGTATAAAATGTTGTGGACTGTTAATTTGCTGCTCAATCTCCTACCATAGAATGACCAAAGTGTGACATGTAACTACATCCAATTTTGTGGACTCCAGAAAAAAATTAAAACCTGTTGCACCACCAGAAATAGCTAGTTAATGTCTAAATGCACTAACATGCTGCAGTGGGACAGCCTAATCAATAACTAATCCAAGACACATAATGTAATTGACTGATCTGGAAAATGACCATCCCTGTCAAGGAGAAACTTTAGTTTTGCAAATGATTTGGGATGTTTTCCCAGTCACCCAAAATAGGAGACTTTTGCTTTACCATTTCTGTGGGTGCTGCTGATTGTCATACTAAGTTAACTTAAAACTGATTTAAAATTAAAAATTATAACAAAATTACAGTCACTCCATAGTAAAATTAATATATTCTACAATGAAGCAACTTGCATCCTAAATGAATCGTAAATTGTGTAATGTATCAAAAATGTAAAAATATCATTTAAAATAGCAGTTAATACTTTCCAGGTTTGGGTGGATTTCATTTTTCAGTATTAAAAGTAGCTGCTAAAGAAGAGACTGAAGGAGTATAAAGGAAATTATTCATGCTTTTCGGGAATTCCACCAGGAAACTAATAAGATGAACTCTTTGATCTGTTGGTAGAACTTAAGGCTTCTTTATCTTCTTTGAACTCTTCTGATGATTTTCTTATACACTCTGATGAAGAAGATCTTATCCATTGATGACATATCACTCGTTGCACCCTTTTAGATAAGATTTTTTTTATCTGATAGGCCTCCAGTTCCTTCCAATCATAATTCTAAAATTATTTTACCCAGTAGTCTTCTTACCATAAGCCTTGGTTGTGCTTGGACCTCTGGTTCATAAATCCTTGGAGCTGGAATATTAATGTTCTGTTCCTCAGCTGATTCAGCAAGAGACCTATCCATCTAGTTTAACCAACTGAAGAAGAGAATATTAATATTCCAGTTCCAAGGATTTATGAGCCAGAGGTCCAAGCACGATCATGCTTTCTATCTTACTTGATGGGAAATGACAATAGTAAAGGTCCTTATCTACAGGGGAAAGGGGTTTGACTGAAGGTGTTAATCTGCTTGTCAGTTTATCTGTTTAAGAAACTCTACTAAACTGCCCTAAAACACGCCGCCCCCCCCCCCACACACACACACATACATAATCTTGGGACTGCTGCCCTCAAGTAATCACCAATCATAGAAGTCACCCGTGGCGCCACAGAGGTTGCCAACCTTCCCTCTAATGACAAAGTATCCTGTTTGAAACTGAAGAACTATTGGTAGACAATACAATATAGCCATACCTTCCCCAGACTCTCATGCCCAGATGCATTGACTACAGTTCCCATCAGTTCCAACCACATTGATTGGTGCATTGATTGGTGCAGAAAATGGAAATTGGCCTCCAGCTGTTCTGGAGGATACCTACTTGGTGAAAGATCGAAGTTCAGAAACAGAAATTTCTCTGTTTGAGTTGTAAACTTTATGTTTAGTTTAGTTGTGAGTAGTTATTAATATTACTGCTCCTGGACCTAGGCATGATGGAGATGTGTTTACTTCTTCTTCTCTCCCTCCAAAATGAAGACCCATCCAAGATGAAGGTTTTGGGGGGTTTTTTTGTGCATATTTAATCATATTTTAGAACAACATTCTGGCTTCATAGGCATGACTTTTAAAAAAAACAAAACAAAAAACAAACATAATCCTGAAGTTCCTTTCATATAATTTAAAAATGGAAAGAAGGAGGGAGAATGTTTTTTTCCAGGCAAAACAAATTTGACCTCAGTGATTTTGTGTACCTTCTAGGAGAAGTATTTTCCCAGAAGTATTTTCCTAGATCAAAGTCTAATTCAACATTCTTTACAAGAAGGCAAGCATCAAGCAGATGCTGCTTGGTCCACCAGTGTCTCTCTTAGGTACAGTCTTACACTGCATTAAACTGGCCTTTGTTTTTCCCCATTATGGTGTAGTAGGCCAATACTTCTCAGGCTGATACAGACCAGGATTCCTCCCCCCTCCCCCCAATGTGACAGGGGCTATTAATACATTTGATCCTATTTGATATATTTGTTTCTTTTCTTTGTGTGTGTTTCCATGAATGCATTTTTCACCCATTAGGAGAAAAAAACAACTTGTTCTAGAACCAAATGTATGTATTGTTTGTGAGTGGAATTCTTGTATTTTCAGCTTTTACTCACCATTTTGGAAAACTGACAGAAAAATAATATGTTCAATATGCTGTATTTTATTTATCTACATTCTGTCATGATATACTTTGATGTAAGTTTTTAATTTTGTTCCCGCTTTCAGCTGTTCTAGTAGTAACTGTTCAGGGTCAGTATCAAGGTTAGCCACAGGAGCACAGAACAATTTCCTGTTCTCATAGTCCAGGTAACATTTGGATGAGGATTACATTTTACCACATTTTGCAGTAGCCGGGGACATTATTTCTAATGAGCTTTAAATTGCTCCTAGACCATCCATTGTATAAAGCTTAATGTTGTAATCATGCCACCCTAGTAACTTAATAAAATAGTCCTTCCTTTTTTAAAAAGTTAAATTGTTCTTTGCTATGTAATAAGTAAGCATTGTTGTTATTGTAATATTACCAGTGTTTGTGTCCAGTTACACTCCCTTGTCCCATCATACTGATCAATCTCAGTAAGGACATTTTGCAGCTATGAGTTGCTAGATGTAGAATCTGATAAACTATTACATATTTCAACAGCCCACTAATACCTGCTATTCTTTACCTTTTAATGATATACTTGGCAAGATGGTTTAAATGGTGGCATAGGTTTGTTATTTTTATATCGTCCATTCTTTGATAGTCCAATGTGATTTCATCAAGCCTGCTGTGCAAAGAACAGGAGCTTCATTTGAAATAGCATTGTTATTTTTAAATTTTCTTTTTAATTGCTCCCAGTCCTTTATAGTGCTGTTGCTAAATAGTACTATTGAGCTCTGTTTTTGGTTCAGCAACCTATTAAAAGTTTGCTTTGCTTTGCTTTGCTCTGCTCTCCTCCGATTTGGTTTGGTTTCCCACAATATCTAGGGGAATGTCAAGGTTGTGGCACAGTTTATACCAACTGTCCCAATAAAAATAAAGGATACCATTAGTATATGATTTGTTTGCCACCAGCAGATTCTTCATATCTTCCAAAGAAAATAGGAATATGTGCTTGAAAGGAGCAATTGACTCAGCTCCCAGCATTATTTGTTGAAGGTGTTTTCCATTCCCTTTTACACACCACGGGAACAATTGATGCCTGCTGTCAGACTTGTTTGCTACATGAAATTAGAGTTTAGGAAAACAAGACTTGTACATAGTAGTGGCATGCCAGATCCCACAGTATCAACCACCCCCCCCCCCCCCCCCCCCAAGCATTTAGATTTCACAGCAAAGTATGATGCCATAGTAAACTCCCTTTGACAGCACAAACAACAATATGGTTTGGTAGAGAGAATATTGAGAATGTTTGCAAGAAAAATTAGGTGGAATTTAGTAGTTAAAGTTCTTTAATTTCATATTTGCAGTTTAATTTCAGGTATATACTTGTGTATGAGTTTAAACCTTTTAACAAAAAAATCAACCATACAAACCTGGATTAAAATGTATCCATGGATTAATGCTGGAAATGATGACGGCACCAATGGCTCAATGAGCTTTGTGCTCCCCATTACTTTGTGTGCCTCTGGTAGACAACTGGCATATATCTTTTAAAAAGGTTTATTGTAGAAGCCTCACAAGGCTCAGGCCATATTTGAGGTTATAGTAAACTCCATAATTTTGGCCTCAAAACCAAATTGATCCAAATTGATCCAAATTATACCACCAGATAGATTAATTCTTATTGACACGATTTCTGTATTTCTAACTAAATCAATGACTGACCTATGCATTTGATCCAACCGGATCCAAGCAGAAGAATCCTTCTAATTAAATGTTGTATATAGCAGGAATCCTGAAGCTATTGTCAAACGAGGAAGGATTTTGCTACCTCCCAAAGAGGCTTCCTTGATGCTAAGTAGATTCACCCGCTCCACAACATTGGAGTTTAGTGGTTTGATTTCTTCAGAAGGATTAATGGTAACCATAGGTTTATGTGAGAAAGAGCCAAAGGGCCTATTCAAACACACTTTTCTAGTACGAGACCAAATCCTATTCTGCCTGTCGACTATGCATTCTTAGCTATTAAGGAAATCAATTTATTTACCTTTGCTCTCCTGATCCTGCTTGTGAGAATTGTATGGATTTGATTCACATATGGAAAGCACACTGATTGGGCAACACAGAGGTCTACACTGTAGGAATTAATGCAGTTTAACATCACTTTAACTACCATGGCCAAATACTATGGAATCATAGGAGTTGTAGTTTTATGAGGAACCAGCATTCTTTGGCAGAGATGGTTAAATACTTTATAAAACTACAATTCCCAAGATTCCATAGCTATGGTAACTAACGTGTTGTTGAACTGCATTGATTTTACAGCAGGCATGGGCAAACTTTGGCCCTCCAGGTGTTTTGGACTTCAGCTCCCATAATTCCTAACAGCCAGTAGGAATTGGTCCAAAACACCTGGAGGGCTGAAGTTTGCCCATGCCTGTTCTGCGGTGTAGATGCACCCAGTGTCTTAACATTTACCTTCAAAAAAGCACATACTGATTATGTCCCACTTCCAGAGCTGGATGAAGGACTCAAGTCATGTATCAGTGTAGGCATGCAGGAATCCTTCACAGGGGAAATGCCCAGAATATTTGGCTTGAGGTTAGCTAGCATGAAACCTTCTATATATTTGTAGTGCACTGGGAGATAATAAGATGGGAGATAATAAGATGTACTGTATAATAAGATGGGATTTTTGGAAGTGTTCTGTAGATTGACAGAATGCAGCTTTTAGACCAGTATGTTATCTCTGGGGCTTCATTTAGTATTTTGCTAACTTCCTATTTATGAAGCTGACTCCATGAGAGAAAGTAGTCCCATCAGTGTCCTGACAGGTTTCATGTGGGAATGTCAATCAGAATAGTGCAAGGTATTGCACATTTCAGTAATTCTGGTCCTAGACTTAAGTTTTAAAGGGGGTGCTCTTTAGATTGTGGTATTACTTTAGTAACAAAATTCTGGTAAATATTTCTGTTGTGTTTTAAAGCCCTCCTGCTAACTTGCTGACTAAGAACCCTGAGCTTCTGGTCCAAAGTTCTATCTGAGTTGTATGCTCCTAACAAGCTATAAAATGTAGGTTGGATCCCCAATAGACCTGAAGACTTGTAGATTTCTTGAGTACACCAGTACCTTCAGACATTGTGTGTGCCACCAAAGTAGTTGTGGAGAAGAAGTTTCACTATTCATGAGGTCTGGGGTTGATTCTAAACTTGTAGGAGCTCATCTTTTCATTCATACCAAACACTGTTCATCATTCAAAATGCAGTTCCTTCAGCTTCAGGAACAAAATCAGTAATATTTCCTGTTTTACATTATCTTCTGGGCACTGACAGACAAGTGCTTTATTTTTTATTATAGGTAGCATGCTTTCAAATGCCCTTGAGTTTAGGAAGGTGCTATAGCTCAGAGAGAATGGCTGCTTCAACTCACATTTGCAAATGGAGTTGAGGGCCCTTCCAGACAGGGCCTTTATCGCAGGATCTGATCCCAGGATTCTGTTTATCCCAGATTATTGGTAATGTGGACTCATATAATCCAGTTTAAAGCAAAACACCTGGGGTCAGATCATGAGATAATTGGCCTGTCCGGAAGGGCCTTGAGAAAAACCCAGTTATCTATAACTTTAGGCAAATTTTGACTAATGTTGAGATAGATAGAACAGTGGCCTGATTTGGTATAAGACAGGTGCCTATGTTGAGATGTTCAGCAGATCAGCCATTATCCCATGTCAAATGATTACATTCCTGAAGTAAAGAGGCCATAACATAGAGATCCATCCTTCTGGCTTGGTACATTTTATTTCTTTTTACGTTCTATATTTAATTTATTTTTAAACAAGCAACTATTTGAAGATGATTACAAATTATTTTCTTACTTTGAAACTCGTTATGTGTGCTGGATGAAATGAAGATCAAACTTAGCGTCCCTACTTTCTTGTGTATTTCTCCAGCTTCTGTTATAATATATATTTTATGATTACTTTAAAATATAGCAACTTCTGTTCTAAAACAGAAATTGAAGTGTGTGTTTGTATAATTTAAAAACTGATGAAATGAAAATGTTAAGTGATGTTATTTTCAATTACTTATGTCAATTTCCTTCTTTTTTATCTCTTTCTTTCCTCTCCTTACAAACAGGTAACCAGATCCTGTCCCTTGGGACGCTGTCAAAAGATCAAGTTTATCCAATGAAACTCAAGGGTATTTCCATCTGTTACTCTGCACTCAAATCTGCCTTGTGTGGAAATTATGTCAGCTTTGGCGTCTTCAAGTTGTATGGGGACAACCACTTTGACAATGTACTTCAGGCCTTTGTCAAAATGCTGCTCTCAGTTTCCCACAGTGACTTGCTAGTAAGCAATTATTCATCTTGGGAGTCTTTATGCAAAATATGAAATCACCACCACAGGCTTAAAATAGAGAGGGGGTGGAGGATCTAATACACTTCAAATGCCATGCTTTTTCATCTCAGCTTCCTATATTTATTTTGCATTTTTACAATCAGAAGGATTCTTTGTATTGCCATTAATACAAATGAACTTCAAAATATGGTAATTATTTTAACATGGAAGTTATTTACTGGATTATCTTGTATGACACCTTTGAATGTCAGTAGAATGATTTTGCCTCCTCTCTCATTTTGCACAGCCACCATAATTGGTGTTTAAGTATGTATGCATTATTATATTAGCTATATATCATATATGTCCTGTCCCTTCTCCAGTTTGTTCAAGGAGAGATACATTACTCTCTCTTCTTCTCTCACTCTTGCAACTGTTTTGAAGTAGATTAGGATGGAAGAGGATGACTAGCCCCAAACAATCCTATATTATTTTCTATTATTTTATGTAATAGAGCCCACCGACATTTCTTTGTTTTGGAAATAGGGCCTATTGGATTACATTTAGTTACGTAATATTATAATCTACTGTCTGGCAAGTAAGAGAGGGGAAAATTCTGTCAATGTCAAAGCCTTGGCCCTGAGTTGCATGATATGTTCTTTCTGGATAATACTGCATAGTGCTCCAATACATCTAGTTAAATTGACCTCATCTTGGTTTATACAACTCACTCACCCACCACTCCAGAAGACAGCATATATGCTTCTGGGAAAAGAAAGGCAAGTATGCAAGTCAGGAATGTCAGCATGGTGCAGTGGTTTAAGTGATGGAATAGGACTGTGAAGTTTTAAGTCATTCTAATCTACGGAAACCCACTGGGTGATCTTAGGCACATTTCACTATCCTAGCCTAAGAAGAATAAAATGGTAAAGTTCTTCTGAGTTAATCTAGCTGATAACAATCTACGTTACAAGCAAACTGATCCATCAGAAATCTTTGCCAGCAGTTGTCTTTTCAGTCAAGAATTTCCAGAGTCCAAGATGGAAGCAGCACCTTTTTGGTTCAAAAATTTCTGAACTGAAGGAGCACACAGCAGTGGCATGAAAATAGGATGGAAATAGATCACCATGGCGAGGGAGAGATACAAAAATATCTCTGTATCTCCTTTTTTCCAGCCTTATTTTGGACTTCATCTTCACAATGTCAAGATTTCATACTGGTTCTTTCAATGAATTCAACATTTTACCTATTCAGTTTTTATGTCTTTTTTCCATTAAAACACATTAAAAAGCGTCAGTGTTCTCATGTGTATGTCAAAAGCTAAAATTCAGTAATCATTATTGAGAAATAAAACTGAAACAGGACACCTCCTTTCCTCCATCTTGCTTTCCTTCTTTCTCAAAAAAAAATGGGTATACTCAGTGTACACTGGAATGGTTTGGCTCTATTCAAAGTCAGATGGACAAAATCTAATGCATGTCTAGCCCGAGACATTTTGATTCCAAGATTCCACAAATAAAACACTTTCAGTGTAACAGCTAAACTACATAACAGAACACACCAAAGCCATGTTTGGGATACCAATTTAATATTTCAACCATTTTAAGAACAGTATCTCACCAGTTCATTACCTATCTCTGCATAGAACTACTGTATGTACACAGGCTCAAAATGAGGCATTTCTAAATGTATCTACTCTCAAATTAGTAAACTGCTAAATATCCTGGTGGTCACTGTTTCGTTCAGAGCCTGTGATATGTACACTAACCCTATGTTAGTATTACAAAGCTGAACATATGAAAGGTGTATTGGAATGTGCAGGGATATCTTTAAATATTCTTGTTCACTGTGGGGTGGTCAGGGGTAGAGGAGTTGTGAATACCCAGAGTTCCATATGTTCCCTCCAAGCTTTCGGTTTCGTAAGGCTTTTATAGTACTTCTCGATCCTATAGTGCACACCTACCGTTTCTTTTAGCAGTAAACATATGGGGAAGACTGTGTATACCCTTTAATTTGAATCTGGGCCTATGTTTAGATTTCAAATGAACTACTGTACATACCATATATACTTGTGTATAAGTCAACCTCATGTATAAGTTGAGGACAAAATGATGGATTTTTATATGAATTGTAGATAAATCAAGGGTCATTTAGTGAAGAGGGGAAATCAGCAATGCTGGCAGCCGCTTCTATTTTCCTGCCCTGGCATTCAAAAAGGTCAGAAGTGGGGCCGTGGTGAGGCGAGTAAAGGGGCATGGTGCTTCTTTTAGGTTCTCCCAGTATGGCCTAAGTTCTTGCTATGGATGGTTTCTTTTTATTACAGTTAAGATACAGCACTTACAATTGAACTATGAATATGTCAATTTGGGGGTTTTGAGTCAATTTGTTTACTGAAATTTCTAGAGTTATAAATGAGTTTATACAGTGATTGTTTGCCCTGTCCATAATTGGAAAAACAAAATATATTAAGTGGCACTGAATTTCATAATATGTTTACAAAATGCAGATTATTTTGCCAACAGATAGGTCAAGAGCAGAGAATAAATACAGCCTAGAATGTAATTTATAGTAAATCGGGAAGGTAATTCTTTTAGGTATCTTAGTATTTTTCATAATCCACATACTTGTCTGACCTCTCTCTCTCTCTCTCTCTCTCTCTCTCTCTCTCTTTTATTTTCAGCAATATCGAAAACTAAGCCAGTCTTATTACCCACTGCTGGAATGCCTCACACAGGACCATATGAGTTTCATTACTAGTTTAGAGCCTCATGTACTAATGTATATATTTACTTCAATATCTGAAGGACTTACTGCACTAGGTAAGTATAACATACAACTGAGTTGAGGAAAAATGCAAACGGCATTGTACAGCAGTTAAAAGCAACTTGGCGTGATTTTCAAAGCAATCAAGACTTTTATTTTTGTCATTACTGCAGTGCAGCATGGAATTATTTTTATTTAAAATGCTTATTTCCTGAAAAATTAAATATATATATCTTAAGATTTCTCCACTTGACTGGGATAAACATTAGCAAGTATAACCTTCAACCTGCTAATGTTGCTGATAAAATTGCCAGTGGGTTTACTAGAGCTAAATATGTATATTCTGCTTTATAGTTAGGAACCCAAAACGTCCATCCAGGTAACATTGATTTTTTTTTGAGTGGTTAATTTACTCTCCTCATAAAACAATATAATTAGTTATCATTTCTGTATCACTTACAGTACTTTATCATGGTAAGCCTCTTACCACTATTTGTCGAAGACAATCCAGTCACTAGCATTTTGGTCAAGAATGTCCAATTATTTCATAGGCAAAGTGAGGTTTGACTTTGAATATCCTGACTACAAACAGTAGTAAATACTGCATCACAATTAAATTAATATTTCAATGCAATTTCAGTAAAAGGAAAGCATTTAAGTTAGCAAGCTATACTCCGTGTGTAAGAAAACAAAACAAATCAAAAGTATAGGTAATCAACGTTTTTTCATTTTTTCAATGTAATATCTAGCTGTTGATTTATTGAAAGCTTATTCTTTTTCTCCCTATGCCATTTAGATGTTTGGCACAGTATATAGTATTATAGATTAAACAAGAGAACAAAAGATATGAAAGTCCACATCTTAAATCTTTTTTTAAAAAAATCCTTGAAGACTAACATCTTGGATCCGCACTTTGTATTTCATACTTTGCAGTAATATTTATTCCTGTGAAATATAGTACCGTGGTTGTAAATCATGTATAATGGAAGCCCTCATCTTAGACTCTGCTGTAAGGACAAACACTTCGAGAGCCCTTTTCTAAAGTGTTTGCTTGGCTTTTTCACAGCTGACTCAATGGATTGGAACCTTTTAATGTATCCTCAGTGTATGACATGGTCTCACTAATCTCCACGCAAAGCCTTTCTAATTTTCCGGTGATTGATAACATCCTGCCATTCATTAACTAAAATGAAAGCATAACATTTTCGCTGTCCAGCCGTTTTTATTAGATGTTGAATAGATTAATTTGTTTACTTTTCAACCTGACTCCCTTAAAAGGGAAGTCATTCTGGTACTGTGTAAGAAGCTGGCTGGGGAGTGTGGCACTTAAACCTATTCCCTTTATCTTCATCTGAAACCAAATAAAACCCTTAAATTATGGCGCTCTTAATAGTACTGTCAAGTATCTTGAAATAATTCTTCCTTCTATTTGTATTCATAAAGTGTAACAGCCAAATAAGCCTTTTCAACAAATAGCATTTGCACCTTGAGACTCAGATAGACGAGAAGGACGCTTGCTTGAGGACAAATATCTTCCTGTCTTTTCTCATGACTGCAGACACAGCCCCTCTCTCCTTTTGCTTACCAGAGCAACAGTTGTCCTTAGTACCCACCCACCCGTCTCTCAACCATCTTAACTTGTTGTTTGTTTGTCTGTCTGCCTTGAATAAAATACAATGAGGACTCCATTCAGGTTCAACTAATGCCCCTCCTTGTCCATTAAAATCTGTGTGGGGCGCTTGCATAACATCCTCCTTTCTTACACCCTGACAATAAGAAGAAAAACGAGCACCACAAGCATCTTTGATATACTGTTATGGGAAAACATAAGTAGCTCTTAATACTTAAATTGCATCCTCGTGAGCAGATGAACGGGTAGACCTCTTCACTGTGCTGCTAAGATCACTTACAGAAGAATATAAAATATCTACTTGTACAGTATCAGCATGTTTAGAGCAGCTACTGGTTTCTAAATGGATGTTAGTGATTCACTTTGTGTTATTCAATTTCAGACAAATAGAGTCAAAGCGCAGGTTGAAAAGTACTGCAAAACCCACTTATGAAATATGCATTTCCAAATACATTTCTTGGAGCGTTCATTACCATCCTTTGTAGATACAAGAAAGGAGACTTTGGGGATGAAATACTGTGTTCAAGTGTTGACAGTAGGTTTAAATAAGAAGACTAAAAACTAGAGAACTTGTTCCGCTCAGGCTTTTGTAGTGCATAACCAGTTCTTATATCAGGATAGTTTATTCTTTATAATGAAGCATTTCAATAGGAGCCCCTGGTGGCACACTGGATTAAATCCATGTGCTGGCAGGACTGCTGATCGAAAGGTTGGCAGTTCAAATCCGTGGAGTGGGGTGAGCTCCCATCTGTCAGCTCCAGCTTTCCATGAGGGGATATGAGAGAAGCCTCCCACAGGATGGTAAAACATCCAGGCGTCCCGTGGAAAATGTCCTTGCAGACGGCCAATTCTCTTACACCAGAAGCGACTTGCAGTTTCTCAAGCTACTCCTGACATGAAAAAAAGTATTTCAGTTAAACTTCATTAAACTTTTAATGATTAAACAATTTTTCTTTTTTTCTCCAAAGTATGTATTTCATTGTCAGTCTGTTCTGTGTTTTGAAGATTATTTGGGAGTTGGCAGTCCAGTTCAGTAGGTAATACTTCAGAGTTCTGACTACTATATCTTGGGGGAAAGAAATTGCTTGGTTTTGTGTTTACCTCTTTTCTGGAATCCAAAACCATCCTAAATTTCATGGTTCATAATATGGAGGGAATTTTTCAGAGTCTATAGTGATATAAAAGAGAAAAGGGAGTGGGATACTTGTCATTGTTACATTCCGGACATCCAGAGTTAGCATGAAGATCAAATTAATTTAGTGTTTTGAAGAAAACTAGGATCTAAATTTAATAATAAATAAAATAATTTGGGGTTGTCACACATGCAATCCTCAGCTTCTCAATCAAAGAATGGGATATGATTATACTGGACACACAGCGAACAAGGTGAATGCTTTCTACAATTAATGACATTCTGTGGGGAGATAAGAATGTTCACTTCCATTTGAAACCATTGGAAATGAGGATTGTCAGAAATGTAGAGGAATGTTTCATACTTGGTAGAATGAAGAGAGTCTTGAGACTAATTGCAGCTATATTGTCTGCAAAATCTTTCTTAGGACCTCAGGAGAACTTAGCTTAGGAAAAATATATTGCAATGATGTTCAAATACAACGAAACTTCAAAACAACATTTATAAAGTAGAACTGGCACAGATCAGTAGTCTCATGTCTAGAGGGAAGTGCTCAAATGCTCACTGCAATATTGGCAGACTTCCACTTATCACAGTTTAGGGGGATATACTTAATTGAGTCTATCGTATACCTTCCCTTTCTCCTTTGAATTAATATTTTAACAGTTTAATTCTTGCACAGACATGCACCCATTAAAATAGCATAGCATTCAATGCCAGTTTTGATCCTATGGAAGTAACTTAGATTTGCATCCCGCTGAATCCACTGTAGGCTAAAGAGTTATCCTCACTTGAGAGGAATCTGAAGTTTTAAGGGTAATTTTTTTTCCACTGGTCAATCAACATCCATTCCATGTTTTTCTTTCCCTAACAAATAGAGAAAAAATGATATCCGCTAACATTAAATAAATTAAGTACTGCTAGAATTGTAACAGAAGGTACACTGAGATATAAAGAAATGCTAGAGGAGGCAGTAGTATAGAAAGGAAAAGTCTGCAGAATCCAATAAGGAGAAACTGAGTAAGATTGGTTGAATTCATAAGCAGAGCATAATTAGAAGCTTAACAGCTGCTGTTGCCATGTACTGATTTTTGTAAGGAAACCAAATCTGATTTTACTGTATAGGTTGAGCATCCCTTATCTAGAATTCCAAAATTCAAAATCCAGAATTGTCTACATGGGTGGTTCAATAGTGACATCTTTGCTTTCTGCTGGCTCAGTGGTTTGTGGACTGGTTGAGCATTGTGAAAGTATTGTGCCATTACAATTTTGCCCAAAAGAGGATGACGAGCTTTGTATAAAAGTGGTAAATAAAAACACTGAAATAAACTGTATCCCTTTTCATAGCATCATAAAACAAATCAAACAAACATACCTGACTCAGAGGTGCATATTTTTGGTTCAAAATGTCGTAGGGCTTTCTTCTCCCAAGAAATTTACTTTGCTGTGACTCCGGTAAAATAAGATGTGCTCATGTTCATTTAACCAGGCAGTAGAAGATGTTCATAAACCCAGACATCTAGTAGGAAAAGCGCAATTGTATTCATAATTAGCTTTCAGATCATAAAAATACCCAACCACCCATTTATTTTGGTCTTCTTTACTTCTCACTGTGTACTCCTCCATCAGTGTCATATTAATATTTTGATGCCTAAATACAAATGTATTTTTCTAGCATTCATGTTTAGGTATTTTTTGTTAAGTGTTGTTAACTGCCACCAAGTTGGCTTAAAAATTATGGCAATCCCATGAATCAGAGACCTCCAAGTTACCCTGTCTTCAAGAGCCCTTCTCGGGTCTTTCAGCCTATCCATCTTCCAACCGGATTGACCTATTGGGTCTATCAGTCTGGAATGTAGTCTCCTGTTTTCCTCCTACCTTCTCAAACATTATTGTCGTTTCTGTTTAGTCATGCCTTCTCATGATATCAGCAAAATGCTACAGTCTTGGTTTATGATATGAGCAAAATGCTACAGTCTCGATTTATCAATCATGGTTTCTAGTGAGAGTTCAGCCTTGATTTGCTTTAGGACCCTTTTTAACAGCCCTCTGTATTTGTAGAACTCTCTAGCACCACATTTCAATTACTTGATTTTCCTTCCTACTTTCTTCGTTGTCCACCTTTTACAACTGTACATGGAAACAGGAATTATCATGGCATTCACAATCCTTAACTTTAGTATTCAATGATACATTTTACACTCTTGGACTTCTGTATTTCCTTCATAATTGCCCTTCCAAGCCAGTTTTCTTTCCTAATTCCCTCAAGTACAAACTCCTCAGAATTCAAAATTTTCTTAGCAATAAGGAGACAGCTGGAATCCTGCAATTTGTAGCAGCCAGCAGGAGTGCTTACAAGGAGGCAGAGTACCAGTGAGGGATAGAAGTCCCCCTGTGCTGTGTATAATGAAAGTAAAGGGTTTATACTATTCGGAAATCTTGGATTGTGTTAAGCCTACAGAACATGAGGAGTGATGTGCTGAAATAGTTTATCCAACCATTTAACGTTCTAGATTGCTAGATAAGCCTTTCCTTTTCTTCAAAACAATGTTAATATTAAAAATAAGTCAGGAATTCAGATGCTTTGTTTTGTTTTGTTTTCTTGGTGCAGATACCATTGTCTCCTCCAGCTGTTGTGCAAGTTTAGACTACATTGTCACCTACCTCTTCAAACACATAGCAAGAGAAGGGAAGAAGCCTCTGAGGTGTAGAGAGATTTCCCAAGAGGGACAAAGATTACTGCATTTCATGCAACGCAACTCAGAGGTGCTGCAGCAGGTAAACTCATCATGGTTCACCTTGGCTATATTTTGATCTCCTTTTTGTTTATGAACCAGTACATCTCTTATTTTCAGTCGGAGTCCTTATTTTTGAGGATAGGAAAAGATATCTGGCATTATAATGTAGGTTAAGTGAAGTGAGATCACCAGGACTCCTGTTGTCAGCCATTAATATATGGCTGTTGTGGAAGAATTTTGACTCTTTGGGTTGTGATTATTATTTTTTATTCCCCTTCCTCTTCCTCTTTTTCTTCTTTTAATCAATGCATTTTAATTATGTGTTTAGCCAGTTCTTGGATTGCCATTTCTTTTGACAGAAAGGCAGGGTGGCAATATAAATTTAAAAAGATATGATGTAGTGATAGCCGTATTTTCAGAAGATTTTAAGAATTGGTGAAAGAAATTTGTATAGAGAAAGTATGATTGGTTATCAGCCATTATCCATTTTTAGAGAATTAGACAAAGGGAATAAACATCTTCTTGTCTTCATGTACTTCTTGGGGATTTTCTGGAGAGATCTGATTTGCATACGTTAGAGATAGCTTACTAGACTAGATAAAGCAATGGATCCAGAAGGAGTATTTGTGTGCCGTTATGTTCAGTATGATTGACAAGTTGAGTGGTGAGTGAAGAGCAAAACCATGGGCCCTCTCCTCTACACCATCCAGAGGTAATGAAAAAATCAGCAAAGGCTTCACTTATCCTATTTTGTGGAGGAGAAGGTAAAGAGGGGAACTCTCGCAATATTTCCACAAGGAGAATTGCAAGGGTTTCTTTTTTTTTCAGATTGAAGTTCACGCATAAGAGGTTTAACACCTTCTACCTGCCCTTCATTTCTGTGCTACATATTTCCTCATTTATATGCAACCTCAGTCTTTTTATCTTTGTTTACATGCACTTAGCAATTACCTGAAACTAGAAATAGATGTTTCTACTGTTAAGTTGATGGCACTCAATCTTCTGATGTGCAGGGTGGTGTCATTCATTTATTGGTTATCAGTTTCATTTGTGTGTTAACTTCATCCAGGTGTAATACTACTAATAATAATATATTTTATTTATATGTCAACCTTCCAGTCAGCAAGGCTTTCTGTAGCTGGCAGTTTAACCTGCTGTGCTAACCGTGGCCCCCTAGAATCAGAGGGCAGGATACCTACTCAGAAATGGCAATGTTAAAGATAATGATAAAGGTAGTGATTAAAGTAGTGATTATGAGTTATGAATATTTATTTACATGGAATATTTTTAGGCCCCCTTTTCATCAGGAATGGCAGTGTGTGCCTTTAGTTGGACTACAACCCTTATCAGCCTAAGCCAGCATAGGCAATGAAGGAAAATTCTGGGAGTTGCTGTCCAGCAACTCTTAGAGGGCTATGTTTTGCATACTTCTCTTTAGGTTTCAGGTTTTTTTTAATGGTGCTGAATTTTTGGAATATAAATGCTGAAAGGGAGAAGAAGAGAGTGAATTGGGAAGAGACATACATAGAATATGAATAGGCATGTCTATTAATATTAGATGACCATATGTCTGCAAAATATTTAATTGGTGCTGACATCTGTAGCATACATATCTATGTATGTCTAAAGCAAAGGATCATCTGACCATTGATTTATGGATAGTGGATAGTAATGATAAAACCCTCCTGAGGCAGTTCCCAGTGTAAAGTTTTAAAATACATAAACAAGCATACACGTTAAAATCATGAAATAGGCCAATTGTGTCCTTTCTGTATTTCAGGGTTACATATCCCATCAGTTTACAGTCTTGTCTATGGTGGCTGGTATTAGTGGGGCTGTAATCTAACTGTTTGGAAGCTGTTATTTGATCTCCCCTTTTCTCAATATGTTGCTGGAGGCAGCTGTTGTTTACTTTGCCTGTTGTGGACCGGCACACACAATGGGATAAAAAAGAATTGAAAACCATTCTGACCCATGTCCATCTTGAATACATTGTTTACAACAGGCAGCTCCTGCAACATGATACTGAAAGTTTGTGTTTTTCTAGTTCTCCTTCACCATCCTCTCAGTGTTGATTCTACTTTTTAAAAAGCCCTAACTAGACAGAGATTGGGAAGGAAAAGGACTTGAACAGGCATAACAAGTACGTACGTATGTTTATCCCTCTTTTTTCCTTATCCTGGTCCTAAGTCTTTGTAAAGAGGAGCTTCACTGTCATGCGCTTTGTTAACTGAGCAGTTGCCATGTAATCATTCTTAGTAACTTGGATAGATCTTTACCTCCAAATAAAGCCAAATAAATGTCAGATATAATGTAGACATGTAGATAACTTATTAGCATGTGATTCTCTGGCATCGTTTGCCTCTTTGTGCAACTTCTTGAAGTAGCCAGTCTGGAGGGAAAGTTGATCAAAACCAAACAGCATATCCAATATTTGAATCTTACTGAGTACAGTAGTTAGTACTCTGCGAGCACAGCTCCATAATCAAGAAGAATGGCATACTGGCTTAAATCTGGATTTTCATACATTTGCCTTTCTTATGACCTTAATGTCCTATGTTGTATCCATGATGGTTGGCAATCCTGAAATTTATAGCATATGAATAAGCAGTGATCTGTCTTTATTACCTTCACAATCTGTAGAATACATTATATTTATTTTGAATGCAGGCTTTCAGATACTCTTTTAAATATTAATGACCAGTCTCCAGTAGTCAGCATAAATATGATTTGCATTAGCGCAAGTCATACTGTATTGAGTGCCTCTGATGTCAACCATTCTGTGTACTAATACCTGACATCATCTCCCGAGGTCACTGCCAACTTTGACCTTTCTCCTTGTGCACAGTTTTTCTAGTCTCAGAAGCTCTTTTGAATTGATTTGAAATTTTGACTCTTCCCTTTATGAGGCAGTAAAATTGATAATTATTCAGATGGGAACAGAGTGCTGAGTGAAAAATCAATTCCACCCGCTCTCTGCTGCGTATAAAATTACTTCTGACTCTGCTGGTCTGAACGAATGGCCAAGGTAAAAGCAGCAGGCAGGAATAGTAGAAAGAGTGAGCTGGACGTAGCTAATAGCCTAAAGGGATGGCTTTTTGAGATGAGGGAGTGAGCCAGTTGGGGGTGGTTATCAGCAATGATGGGGCTCATTGATTATATGTTTACATCAGGTTTCCATTGGGTTATAAATCAGCCCTGAATAGAAACAGAACCCAAGGCTTTGCGTCTTACCAGAGGGACAATGAATTAGATTATTCTCATTTTCACACTCAGATGAAAAGTGAGCCATTGATTATTCATCGGCAGGCCATTAAACCCTGGCTTTAGAGCTGATTTGACTATCATGGAGGCTAATGAACAAGACTGTTGCTTCACAGCTAGAGGTTTCAGTTTCCAAGACAGCTGTGTCTTGTAAGTAATGCCTAACCCTATTAAAAGGAAAGGGTTATTACAAATTGCTTAACAGTGCTACAAAACTAGACCCTAATGACTAATTGTACGGTGAGCTTAAAGAGCCTTGTCAGTTCTTTAAAGTGATGCAGTGGAACTGCATAGCTTCCCAGTTTGCCTGTTTTGATGGGTACTCTCTTTATATATTATGTTTCTATTAAAACGGGAAAAGAACATCTCTACATATTTGTACATATCCAAACAAGTGTAGAATTAATTTGTAATGTAATGGTTTATTTTTATAAACCAAATGAAAAATCTTTGTATACTCCTGCACTAGGTATCATGGTTTTAACGGTTTTATGATATATGTATATACTATATTGGATTTTACGCGGCATACGATAATCCACTCCGAGTCCCTTTCGGGGTGAGAGGAGCAGGATATAAATATTGTAAATAAATAAATAATATACCATAGGAACATGGGATCATTAGGATTTTATAGAAAGCACTGTGTGAATTCAAGTTATGTAGTCAGATACGTAACTTGCTGCTCACATAGACTGAGCAGCCATCAGTTATAGTTGAACTGTCCTACTCCTTCCCAAGTCCTTTTCCCAGCTGCCAAGCTATGTCAGGTATGTCTCTTACTTTACTATTGCCACGTCCCCCTAATTTCAAAAGTAATAGGTGAGAAGTTGCTATAGAGGACTGGGTGTATTATTTGACTAGGAAGAGTTGAAAGACAAGGGCTTTGCAAAATTATTTGAAGAGTACAAGGCCACCTACTTTCATACAGCAACTACTCATATATCAGAGTGGAGTCTCCAAGTGCTTCAGTGCTTGGCTAGATTGGGTTATACAGTATAATAAGCAGGTCTTCTGCTAGTGCCTGGGGGATAGTAATAATAATATTGTGGATATAGTCAGGCATTTAAAAACGATAGCCTTATTAAGAGTATTAGTAGTCCAGTGAAAAGCATTTATTTAATTATGCTGTAGAATGGAAACTAATTCTGAAAGTGCATATCAGCTAGTAGAACAGAAGCCATGCGCTTTCAAGGATTTTATCTCTTACAGTTGGCTAGTCTTGTCTACTGTATGAATAAAATAAATTGAGGTAGGAATAAATCCAGTTTTAGTCCTTAGAATAGATTCATTAAAATGAATCAGAATCCTTCAGTGCAACTAACCTGACTCCTATTTATGTTGGTGTACCTACTGAATTTAACCCACAAATTGCAAAAGGTGTTATAGTTACTTGCATGTGAAACTGGACTATTAAACATTTTCCACATACGTGGGATGAAATAAATCTCATTATGCATCCTTTCTGATTTGATTATATGATTGGTTTTCTTTTACATCCTTAGCCAGTATCATTTTAAGTGCTAATGTGGCCTTAGACAATGTAGCTAAATGCAGTATCTTTAAATAGATTGGTGCTTTTGCTCTTTCTTTATTACAAATGTTGTTATTGAGTTCCTCCTTAGAACTATATAAAGCCAACACCTTCAAGCTGTACGGTTTTTGAACTTTATTAACTATTGTTTGGATAGTTTTAAGAAGGTGAAACGGTGATGAAATGTAAATAAAAATCATACCAATACTTTCTTATGATTAGTACTTTTTATTATTAAGATT